GAGGCTGACAGCCTGCTCTGTCCCCAGCGCCACTGAGAGTGACTTCTAAAAATTATTATTATTATTATTAAACATTTATAGCCTCCTTTTGTGTTTCCCAAGTGCCTCAGAATCATTTCTATTTGTGGTTCCTGATGATGTCGCTGAGAGGCAAGTCAATATTGTCACGGACGGCCACACGTTGCCTGTGGTAGCACAGAGGGTTCGGTGACCCGCCCCTCGGTGCCGTCTGTGACCCGCCAGGGCACCCTCGAAGCAGTGGCTCAGGCTCACGTTAGGTCCCTGAGCTCCTGGAGCCTGTTCCTCCACTGCTCGCCTTTAACTCGGTATCATGGCTTTGATGCTTTTTCGACTACAACTTAGAGTGAAAATATATTTTGCATAGTGTATGTAACACGTACATAAAACAGAAACACTGTCGGGAACACCACTTCCTCTTTGTGAGGTGTGCCGTGATGTTTTCTGCTCCACTTTTCATGCCGGTTCCAGCCTGCTGCCTGAACCAGGAGAGCTGCCATCAGTCCTGGCCATGGTCATCCATGGCCACACACACTGTGGGGGCGCTTGCTGCTGACACACGCGCACAGGGAGGGGTTTTCTGGAGCATCGGCTTTGCTCAGCGGCACAGAGAGAAACACAGCTTCACATCAAAACACACAGATGTGTTACGGCACCATGTGCCGCCTGAAAACCTCGTTCTTAGGGTGGGCAGCTGGCCCCTTCCTCCTGCCTTCACCCCAGGGCTTCTGTCCACGCTTTCCCCTTCTGTTGAGGAAAATAGACCGGAAACAACCTGGGAAGCGCTGTTCTTCCGGAAACTTCAGACCGAGTTGAGATGTTCTCTGACCCTAAACGGTTGTGAGGGGCTTTGAGCAGCAGTTTCTCTCACAGTTGTCGGGCTTGCTGAGCGCCGTACTCGGTGCTGGTTACTGGGACTGTGGAGCGAACAAGAGAGCTGGGGCCTGGGGACAGGCGGTAAACCAACAAGCCGGTGAAACTGAGTGTCGGATGCGGGCAGCGGGGGAGAATGGAGCTGAGCTCACAGGGCGGGTCCCGAGTTTGGAGACTGAGCGAGGCCGTGTATCAGCGTGCTGCACGGGAAGGTCTGCCTGAAAAGAGAACGTCTGATGAAAGCGAAGACCTAGAAGAGGCTGGGAGGCGGGAGGGAGTCGTGCATCAAAGTGGGGGGGTCCAGATAAAGGAGCGGCCGGCACAGAAGAGCCATGAGAGGAACTGCCCCGTGTGGCCTGGGTGTGCACAAGGAATGCCGCCGAGGGCCGCCTGACGGCACGTGACGCGTAGCATCGGGTTACAGGCAATTGTTTATTCCCGGAGAAGTGGGAAGTCCCGGGAGGTTTGAGCAGAGAGGTATTTGCGCTGACCTACATTTCCCATTCAGTCTGGCTGCTGTGTCGAGAGTGGACTGCAGAAGCCAGGCGTTGGGGCTGAGGAGACAAGTGCAGAAGCAGAGAGGCCATTAAAAGGCTTTGCAGTGTTCTGTTTACTGAGTTTGGAAGGACATTAGGTTGTTTAAGGATGAGGAGGAGAGATCAGAAACTGATGTTTTTGGACGTGTTCGCTTGAGATATTGCCCAAGTAAAGATCCTAAGTAGGCAGTTGGTCTACTTCTGTGATCATTGATCTCCCATAGGCAGGCTGGATACTGGTGTTCAATCACTTGCAAAACAGTTCTCCAGCTCGTGCGCATTATGTCGTCCTGTTCTGCGCCTGTTGAGATGGTGAATTTCAACAAGCAGGAGCTCACTCATACCTCTGAAGCAATCAGTGTCATGTTCTCTCGGTTGGCTCACTTTTATTTAAAAGCATCTGCCATCTGGGTGGGAATTGAACTGGCTTCGTACCGTGTTTTTCCCTGGTTCTTTTATGCCTCCCCGGCCCCAGGAGTAATTGCATGTCCTTGGAGAACCTAGTATTCTTTGGGCTATGATCCAACACCCGTGTTATTCTTTCTTTGCATATAGATGTGATTTTAGCTCAATGATGCGAACCTGAAAGAGCCCACATATCATCCCCTCCCCCCACCTGCCTCACTGAGTATCCGTTTATGTAATGAGAGATGTTACTAATGGGATTATCTTGTGCACACGAATGATGTAGCGGTAGAAAACAGGATGAGAAACCACATTTCGTTCCATTTGCTTGATACCTTCTCCTTAATTTCATGCAGTAAGTACTCACTGAGCCACTAGTGTGCTCGTGGAAACCGAGAGCCTCTGCCCTCTGGGGGCCGCCGTGTCGAGGGCGAGGCAGACCTGCGTCTGACGCTGTAGTTGAAGTGCGCGCACCGGCTCTGGGAGAAGGACAGGAGCTGTCCTGAGCACTCTCAGGCTTGACCCGAATCTTCAGATTACTTAGGTATTTTCCATACAGCTAAAGCGTGAGGAGAAGACAGCTAAAGCGTGAGGAGAAGACTATACTAAGTAACAACAGGTAAACAAAAGCACAGTTGTGAGTTTCAGTGGAGAAGTGCTTTTGATGTGGCTGAAGTTAAGGACAAGGCTGGAGAGGTAGGCAGGAGCCAGGTCCAAGAGGACGGTATATTCTTGAAATGAATGCAGTCTAGTCAAGAGTGAAAGCTCACAAGCTGCAAAATGCAGACTTTGAGAAGCTAATGAAAAAGAGATGAAGCATTTCCTCCCGAAGAGTGGCCTGCGTGCAGCTGACCTGTCAGGAGACAGTATTTCACCGGAGGCTTAGTAGCAAACAGAATCATTAATTCACCGTTTGCTAGGAAGCCTTTTTATCTTTCCGATCTTGTAGTATAGTTAGTAGTGCTACTTTTGAGTGTGCGTAAGATCTCAGGCAAGTCTAACGTGGTTATTCTTCATTATGAGAAATTCGGAGTAAAAAAGGTTAAGCCGAAGATGGTGAAGGAAGAGGGAGTACTTGTTTTGTGCCAGGCGTCCCCCTGAGAGCTTTGCAAAGATGAACCCCGTTGTCCGTGATGACCCACACACTCAGTGCTGCTACCTCCATTCTGCAGACAGGAAACTGAGCTGAGTACTCCTTGCCTGGAGTCATGCAGGTAAGTAAGGGGCAGAGTCAGAATTTGAAATCAGATTGTATGATCCATGTTCTGAACCGCTGTGTCCTTCTGTTCTGGGCATCCCAGAAGCCCTGAAACTGTGCCAAAATGTTGCACGTGCACTTTCCGGAACGGGGGTCCACAGCTTCATCCGTGTATGAGAAGGGTCCCCGAGGTGGAAGGGTGACCTAGAGGAGCTTTTCGAGTCAGTTCATTGGTAAGTCAGTTCCACCAGGTAGAACAAGGAGTCCCTCGGAAGAACAAGAGATACAAGTTTATCCCTGGGGGCAAGGGTCATATTTTCTATATTCTTTGTATCTCCAATGGTTAGGACATAGTAAACATTAATATTTGATGAAATATGATAGCTTTACATTCCAAGCGAGCATAAATAATCAACTTGCATTTCACGTACGACCTTTATGTAACCGCACCGTCTCACCCACACCGCCCGGCTTTCACGTCCGAATGCCCTTCACAGACCTGGCCCTCCCCTGTCCTCCGGTGCCCTCGTGTGAAGTGCCTTCTCCTTCTCTCACTGCTGAGCACCGACCAGAAAGTACCTCTTTCCCAGAAGTGCAGGCAGGTATAATTCTTCTGAAGTGGTGGTCTGGCGCATCTGAAATGTCTAAAGCCCTTTCCTGAGGTTAGTTTCTCCGTTTACATTCATTACTATCCATCTTCCTGAGAACCCTGCGTTCTCAGTGTTACGGGCATCAGCTTATGTGGTACAGGTCAGACACTCCCGGGAGGTTGCTAATGGAAAGGTTAAAATCACAAGTTACCAGGAAAGCAGTCTGCTGGCCTCTTCCGGGAGAGAGAACAGAGAGGCTGTCAAGTAGACACAGTCAGGTGGTGGGGGAGGAAACACAGGCTGGAGGCGGGGAAGGCGAGTTGATGATGAGTGTGAAAGAACTAGGAGTTCTCCGGGAAGAGGCCACGTGGAGAGCCCAGTGTTCGATGAAGAGAGAGACAGTGCTGTCGAAGTGTGGGCATTTGTCCCCCCAGAAGGGTTCTCCAAACAAAATGGAAGTAGGCACGGTTACTGATTCTAGAACTTGCCCAGAGAAGCGTCGTCCTGCTGTGCCACGAGCATCGGTGGGAGAGTTGCTAGTGACAGGAGCCCGTGGGAAGTGGTGGCTAAGCAGTTCTGCTCCCCCTTCCACAGCGAGTGGCTCCGAGATGCTGCCTCGGTGGAACCTGCCCATTGTTGCCCCCGAGTAAAGACTCGTCGTACTGGAGGTTTTTGAAAGCTACGAGCAGCATGCTCTGAATCGCACGGGCCGTGCTGGACTCGGGGCCCGCCGCGGCCAGAGCGCCTGCTGTGCTGAGAATACTCGTTCTCAGCTTGCCACAGGGCTGTGCTTTCTCACAGTTGTCAGGTTTGCCAGCAAGTGTGCCCCACCCTGGAAGACGGTTTCATAAAAGAAACAACTAAAAACCAGCATCTGAAGAAAGATAAGGGGCAGTATGACCAGCCGTTGCGGAGAGGGAGAAGGTCAGGTTTGGGGTCGACGTGTACTTGCTCCCGGCACTTCTGTGAGTTAGTAGCACGACCCTGGGTCTCCCCCAACCTCAGCTCCTCGTTGGTAAACGGGGAGGCGGTGCCGGCTGCCTCGTTTGGGATGGTAATAATGAGGATTAGAAATCATGCAGGGACGTAGAAAGGGCAGCAGCAGCTACTATTAATAACCACAGAAACAAAGAATAACTGAGCAGAACACTCTGGGTACGGGCTCGGGTCTTGAACTCACTCCCAGAGCGCCTCCTGGAGCAAGGTGGCAGGTCGGCGCAGACTCTGACGGCGGATGCGTGGGCTTGCGTGTGTCTGCCGGGGAGTCCTGCTCCGCAGGGGAGAAGGGGCGTCAGGTGACGCGTTTCCGGACACATAGCTGTTGTTTTTCTCACCCAGCGTCCTCCGGTGTCCTGATTTCCCCGTGTTCTTTCCTGGCAGGTGGCTGTGAAAAACAATATTGACGTCTTCTACTTCAGCTGCCTCATCCCACTCAACGTGCTTTTTGTGGAAGACGGCAAAATGGGTAAGTCCGTCCTTCTGTCCTGCCAGACATACCTTTGCCTTTCCCGCGAAGGCCAGCAGAACGTAGCGAGAAGTACACGTTATTTGAGGTTTTAAGAAATGGGGTGGTACGGCTGTTATCCTGAAGCTCTAATAGTTGCCGATCATTTATCTCCCGAGTCACAGTGGTCTTGTCTTGCTGGTGGTCTCTGAGCACAGTGCCAGTTTCCCGGGGGGGCCCCCCACCCCCAGCACACGAGGCGCAGGCGCCGTGCTGAGCGCGGGCTGCAGGCGTGTGGCCGTCCCGTGTTGAGCGAGGCTCCACTTTCCACGTTTGCTTCCAGTGTTTCCGTCACTGTTTGGTGACTCTCACGGTCTCACACTTTTTCGTTATAATTAGAGTAATTTGTAATAAGTCTCTAGGATTCCTGTGGGGTTGGTGTTGACATTTTTCTCTTGCCTTACTTATGACACCACCATCTAACCAAACTCACACATACTGGTACGCACTAAATTGTGTGGGCATTTAATTGGCTTGATTCTTACTGTGGCTCTTCCGGCCAGCGGCACAGACGTAATCATATCCGGTCAAATTAAGGGTCAGAAAGTTACAGACCTACCTAGAGTCGCCAAGTTAGAGCTAAAACTAAACCCTTAGTCTGAATCCTTCCTCTGTGTCCGGTGCTGCTGCTGAGGGGCTCCCTGCCCCGGAGTGGGGCCCCTCGGTGTGGCCGGGCTGCTCTTGTGAGAGCCGCACCCAAAGGAGAGAGCAGGTTGCACACACCCTTCCTTCCCCCCGTGTCCCCCGCAGAGCGCCAGGTCTTCCTCGCAACGTGGAAGGACATTCCCAATGAAAATGAACTTCAGTTTCAGATTAAGGAGTGTCATTTAAATGCTGGTGAGTAATGACTCTACATTTCATCTTGAACTCAGAAAGTCAAATTGGATAATTGAAATTTTTGTCTTTATTTACCTCTTCTCTTTACATCTATGGTAGATACATTATTTTGCAAATTTTAAAAACTGGGGGTGTTTTGATGTGGGTACCAGATTACTTTATAAGCCAACAGATTTAAGAAACAAACTTGAACGGCCCCGTCTTCCCAGCTCAGTAGTTTCTCGTGTGTCAGTCACGTTACTCGCACACCCTAATGCACGTTAACTCACTGCAGTGGCATTTCAGGATGTGACTGGGTTTCCTTTGTATCTGCCTTCAGAATCGGAGGAAAAGTGGCTGTGAGGTCTTTATTCAAGACCTTGTGTTTGTTAGTAGATAAGAGTACATGGTAGTCGATTGAGGACTAGTCGGCAACCTTTTTCTTTCTTGCCTTCTTGTCAGCGTTTAGCGCGACACCTTTTTAATCACCACCGAAAGCCCCAGACCATCGGTGGCTGTCTCTCACTAACTAGAACATGGGGGGGGGGCGGGGTTCGAGGGAGGAGACGCAGCAGCATCCATCTGGCCCTCGGGCTGCGTTTCACGGAAGCATTTCTCAGGGGTGGGAGGAGCTGTACCCGGTTCAGAGTCTGCCTTCGTCCCAGTCTGTGTCTGTCTGTCTGTCTGTCTGTCTCTTCTCTCTGAGTTAGTGGCAGATTTTAAGCTTGAATGAAAGTGAGCGTTGGTGCCTGGTCCATCCTCCCTTCTCCACATTTCTGCGTCACTGCCCCCTCCGTGTGTCCCCGAGTGTCACCCTTGCGCGGCCGCACCGTCGCTGTCCTGGCTGGAGCGCAGTGTGGAGAGGCATGCGGTCCGGCGGGTGCAGAGGGGCAGGGGCACTGCCTCCTCGTTCTGACTTCTGCTTTCCCTTCAGTTGTCTGGGGCTCCGAGGTGCGCTCACCCTCTGTCCAGACAGATCCGTCCTTATAGGACTTCTGAGTCCTCAGAGAGGTGTTCGGGGAGAGAAGTCGTCCGTGATTTCTATGGTAACAACCAGTAGTTGACTTCCCCCAGGAATACCACAGACACACACACATTACATATATGCCTTCTTTCTAACACTCTTGCTCCAGGTTTCTCACCATGACTGGTTATGTGTTTACTAAACAAAACGAGAGTTTTTGCTGCTTTTCTTTTTTAAAAAACATGCTCAAATTGAAGTGCTTGTGGTGCCGTCCTCTGGGACGACAGCGTTATCTGCCCCCGTCTGCAGCTCACTGGTCGGTGAGCACACGCCTCGTCCAAGGGGTGCAGGAGGTTGGACGGCTTCCTGCTGTGTAACAAGCTCTTCAGGGCGCGGTCAGGTCCCCAGGGGCCGCCGGCGCGGGTCCTGTTAATGGAGCAGCCTCTGTCCCCAGCATGGAGAAGACCAGGCCCTTCACTGCAGTTGCCCTTGAGGCAGTTGGTCCTGCGGCAACATTTCCTATATGAGGCTTCTGAGAACAGCGTGTTCTTTCTTAAAAAAATGGGTTCTGTGGTCAATTAAAGTTGAAAAGCACGGAGCGTGGTGTGCCTGTCCTCGAAGCCACCATCGCACGTTAGCTCAGAGGAAGCCCGTCCAGGCCAGTATGGACTGGGACCCAGAATCACAGAGCGCTTATTGTTAACATCTTCGGGGGCACGAGCGTTCCTGGAACACAGTCCGGGGGACGTTGGCCTGTAGAGACACGGTGAGAGGCCAGACTAATTGGAAAGAAGGTTGGTTTCTGACGTCCTGTGTGGAAGACACATGCTTTCCTTCTCTCTCTGTTGTTTTTTTTTTTTTAAGAAGTGTGGATAGTTGAGGTCTTTAGCATGGCCTGCCAAAATAATAGAAAAGCTCCCCCTGCGTCCGGATGGAACCGCGAGCCCTGCTGCACCTCGATGCACGTTTGTGGTCTTGCCAGACCTGCCTGGCCGTTCTCCCAGTGGGGCTGTGTCCTCTGCGGTGGCGTGAGCAGTTGTTCAGGGCAGATTCCGTTTCGATCAGTTCGGCTGTTTTCTTCATGCCATTTCTCCCTGCCGTGGGTGCTTTAAGTACCAAGGCCTGGATTTTTCAGTGGGACTCAGCTCTGTGGTCGCACAGCCCGTGGGGCAGCGGGAAGAACCTCTGCTCCGTGCTCCCCGGGAGCCCGCGGCCGTCGTTTCCACGGCCAACCTTGCAGGACCACTTTCTGCAACCAGCGCCTTTGCCTCAAGATGCGGAGTGCCCTGGCCCTTACATTTCCTTCCATCCTTGAAGGCTCTATTAACACGAACATTTCCAGGTTTAGTGCCTTCTGATTCAACACCCTGTGTCTAGCTGAGAGCTAAAAATACCCTCCTTTCCTGCTGATCTGCCCTAATCACAAGAGCACCAGCACTTGAAATAGCTTTTCGGTGCCAGAGCAGACGTGTGGCGGCTGGCAGGGGCACTCCCGAGGGCAGCGGGAAGTTACAGGCCTAACGGGACTTAACAGCCCAGAACTGAGCCTTAGCTTCTGCTCCTCCATTTCTTTCTGAAGAAGGAACTCTTCCCAAGCCTCAGTGGTCAGCCCGCTCTCACTAGAAAGGTGGGCGCGACAGCGGCGCATGCGGTGCCTGTCCTCTCTGACGCAGGCGGTCGGGCCGAGGTGTCCTTAGGAGCCTGGGCCTGGCCGTCGATGTGTCTGGATGCGTGTGCACCTGTGCGGCAAGGGCTCTTCAGGGAAGGCTCCCACCGCAGGTCTTCCGCTTTCTACAAGTAGGCAGGAGCCTGGGAAGTGGGGAGTGGCTTTACGACCTAAAGCAGCCCCATGTGTTGAAGACAGTCCTGTCGAAAGGTAAGTAGCCAGGGAAGGAGGAGACTGGACTTGGGTGGTGAACACACAATACAATGTATTGTTGATATGTTACAGAACTGTGCACCCGAAACCTGTAAGATTGTGTTAGCCAGCATCATCCTGATAGATTCAGTAAGAAGGGGGGAAAAGGTATTAGCCAGATTCCAGCCGGCAACATCGCCTGATAACCCAGTCTGGGCTGCAGGAGCCCTTCATCCTGAGAACCAAGGTGACAACCAGAGCTGCCTGACCCCTCAGGGGCAAGTGAACAGCACACCGAGGCCCCTTCCACGGCCCGGCACAGGACTGCCTTGGCCGGCACGGCCCGGTGACGTGAGTGCCAGCCTGCGAGCCCAAGTGTCACGTGTGACCACTACCCACCATGAGATGCACCTTTTGTCTCCCCAGGGAGAGCCAGTTCTTGAATTATAACTATGCTGCTAATTTATTACCAGTGCAAACCTTTGGAATCAAAAGACGGGAAGTTAGGTGGCGACTGAGCGCAGCGCAGATGTTGAACGCGGGGGCCTCAGTTCCACCTCCTCTGAGCTTTCGCTGGTGTGAACATGGGAGAAAGATGTCAGGGCAAGAACTTCCTCCAGAATCTAAGTAGATGGTTGTTAGTGCCTGTGGCACCGCGTCCACCTCGGCGTCTGCTACACCTGAGTCAGAGGCTCGCTCACAGGCGGTGGCGGCAGGCGCCCACTGTGTCCCAGGCACCCCGGGAAGCCTCGCCATGGACATCCTCTGGGTCCCCGTGATGGCGGGGAGGTGGCACCCTTTTCCTAGAGCGCACAGCAGACTGCGACAGGTGTGTCCGTGGGGAGAATTAGTTCCTGAGGTTGGCCTGAGCGGCGCGACTTCTCATTGCGAGTGAACATAGTCCACCGTGCACACGGAAGCGGTGCTCGTCCTCCCCGTTAAGGTGTCTCCTCGGTGCTTCAGCGTCTCTCATTAGCAGCAGGACAACCAGGAGAGAGAAGGGACCTTTCACTCTAGAATGTCATGTCTCTGATGCTGGGGTCACAACCTGTCCCTACCCGGCTTGGTGACAGTAGGCCTCCGCTATAACCAGCAGCAGCCCCTGGAGTGACAGGGCCTCGTAGTAACGTCTTTGTGCAGTGGCAGCCTTTCGTGATTAATCTGAAGACACAGTGTTCCATACAGGCTTTAGTAGTCATTTGCCTGCTTTAAAAATAAAAATCTTAAACGTCCCAGGGAACAGATCTGACTTGCAGGGTTTCTGAAACTCTGCCGCTTCCCTACCCGGCAGTAGTGCTGGGGGGCGACCGTCAGCCTGCGTGTCCCTGTGGCTCCCCCACGCACCCTCTTCAGAGTGTCCTCTGCCTGTCCGGCACCCGGTTTGAGACCGCCGGCTCCTTCGGCCGCCACACTCTCCTTGGGCATCACGGCGGTGCTTCCGTCGGTTGCACCTCCCTCTGTTTTCTGCTGTGGAGTGTGACAGGCAGGCGCTTCAGGAGCCTCTTCCTCATCCTTTGCTGATGGGGAGAAGGGCTTCCTGAAGGGTGTGCGTGGAACAGTGGTGTCAGGATTGCAGCCCACGTGGCCCCTGGGTGGGCAGAAAAGAGGAAGCATTTGTGTGATATTTCAAATCTGTTTCTAGACACTGTTTCCAGCAAGTTGCAGAACAACAACGTTTACACTATCGCCAAGAGGAACGTGGAGGGGCAGGACATGCTGTACCAGTCGCTGAAGCTCACCAATGGCATTTGGATCTTGGCCGAGCTGCGCATCCAGCCAGGAAACCCCAACTACACGGTGAGGCTTCCTCAGAGCCGGCAGGATGGGCTCGGGGAGGGGGGAAGGACCCTTTGTGTTTTCTTGGCGCCCTGGGAGGACCTGGAGGGCGCACCTCGGAAAACCTCTTTCTCAAGGCCCAGGTTTGGTGTCCAAGCCAGCGATCAGTGTAGAAGTCCTCGGTTGCCCCTTTGGAAGGTCTCTGTGGCTGCTGCCCCGTCCAGCGGGCATGGTGCCTCTGGCCTCATGGAGTGAGTGCCTCAGACACCCGCCAGGATGCACAGTCGCTCACAAAACTTGGCGACTTTCTCGGTGTCAGTACTTTCCTCGCCTCTCTGTGCCTGTGGTGCCACGACAGGCTGTTCACAGGCTGTTTCCGTGGCTCACTTTAAGGAGGGCTTCTTTCCTGCCCTCGGCCTTTGTGTCCTAAGGTAGCAGAGGCATGGACACCTGAGCCCCTCTGCAGCATCAGTCGTCCTGAATGCTTGTTGCGAAAGCCAAGACGGAAGACTCGGAGCTCATCCTTGGCAGCCTGCAGGGAGCGGTGGTTTCAGAGCTCCCTTCAGTGTGCAGTGGGCTACAGTGTACATTCTGGCCGGGTTTTAAGACGGGAGCAGGTGGCCTTGTTAAGCAGTAAAGGTGTGTGCCCCAGCCACGTGGCATTTGTTTGCTCTTGTCAAATGTGCTCTCCCAATAGGATGTGGCTTGTCATGTGCATTTTGTGAAGTAAAAGAAAAACCACTTGGGCTAGAGGAGATATTCTTATTCTTTTGCTATGTTTGAAGTTTTTGTAGGCTGTTTGGAGGGAGGAGACATGAAAGCGATAGATATGAGATTCAATACTGAATAATTCTGAAGAAGCTGAATAGTCAGTAGATTAAGGAAGCTTTTTAGTCATTTAGCTGATCAAAGTGTGATCCCATTCTTTAATTGTAACAGCCAGGCCTGTTTTCATGAGTACACATCAGGGTAATTGCACCACCCAGAGCTGAAATTCTCCGGGGTGCCCCCTTCCCTCAAGAACCTAGGTGAGTGTGTGTGTGAGCTGTGGGTCCCATCAAGCTGTATTTTTGTCCAAGCATCTGTGAGCTGGGGAGCCTCACGCTTCCCCCAGAAAGTGAACAGTCCCCCCACCCCACCTCCACCAATCCCTGTGTTTTTGTTTTGTTCTTGGCTGTCCTTTTTCTGTGTGTGCAGTCTCCCATCTCAGGTTACAGCAGCGTGGTGACCCCTAGTCTGCAGGTAAGGAGACCAGGGCTCAGGATAGTCGGTGGCTTGTTCAGGGCCATGTGGTTTGTCGGGAGGTGGATTGGGGTTCAGCTATCTCTTGACACTTCCTGCTGTGTTCTTTTTATTCATTATAAGGATGATGGAAATTTTTAGAAGAATCTCTTGACATCACGGTCTGAAACATAGTTTGTGAAAAATTTTTTTAAAGGTGTAACTTCTTCATTTGCGATAATTTGACTTGCAAATCGTTTTTTAGAGGTGCATAGCATTCCCATGCCTCTTACCCCGTTTCCCCGTTGCCAGCATCTTCCATGCCCATTGTGTGTTTTCAGACAGGAAATTGGATCTTGATAAAATGGTATTAACAAAACTATAGGCCTTGCTAGGTTTCACCAGTCTTTATATCACTCTGTGGTGGTTGAGTGTACAGTACTATGCGTAGTATCTGTTGTATATATGCACAGACACTTCCCTCCCCTGTATATTTGTAACATTTTTATTGTGCAACAGTTACAGATTCACATGGAGGGATGGGCAACAGGCCCGTGGGGTCCTGTCGTTTGTACCCACGTCCACCTCCCTTCCTCTCCCGAATTCGTATATAGTAAATTTGCTTATATTTCCTTGCCCCCTTTCCTGTTTTCTCTCCATCTGGTGACTTGGTTCCTACTGCCCACAGAACCATCTAAGTTTTCCGTGACAGTCGGACACGGGCCTAACCCATTCCCCGAATCACTGCTCCCGACTCAGCACCGCTCAGATCCATTTCCCTCCCTCCGTCGCCCTAAACCCCCGCTGTGGTGATCCGGTCTCAGCTGCGTGTGACAGAAGGAGTCTGAGCCAGTGAGAGTGCACGGGGACCCATGGTCCCCTGTCTCTTTGAGAGAGGGTGAAAAATTACTTACCCCACCCCGTCCATACTGTGTTTCTCTAAGAAGGTGTGAAACGCCCTGGCCAGGGGCTCAGTTGGTTGGAGCGTTGTCCTGTACACCAAAAGGCTGTGGGTTCGATTCCCGATCGGGCACATACCTAGGTTTTGGATTTGATCCAGCTGATCAATGTTTCTCTCTCTCTCGTCGCCTCCCCCCATCATCTCTCTAAAATCAATAATCACATTCTTGGGTGAGGACTTAATATATATTCGAATACATAGGATAAACATGCCTTCTATTACATATACATATGTTACACACGTGTATGTATAACAGAAGGTAAGTTTGTCCTGTAGGGATGGGGCCCCATGTCTCTGAGCAGCTGCATCTCACCGGGAAAGGTGACGTGTCCAGGTGAGGAAGTGTGTCCCGGACTGTAAACTGGAAGTGGACGTGGCAGGAGGCGACTCTCCCCTTGGGGGTCTGGCTGGGTGGCGGTCCTGAGCGGTTGCTATTGAAGATGTGTCACGGTTTGGCGCCCCGGCCAGGTAGCTCAGTTGATTAGAGCGTTGTCCTGATAATGCCAAGGTTGTGTGAGTTCAATTCCTGATCAGGGCACATGCAAGAATCTACCAATGAATGAATGCGTCAGTAAGCGGAACAGCAAATCGGTGTTCTCTCCCCATCCCCTTTCGCTCTCTCTCAAAATACATACATTAATTTAAAACGTCTTTTAAAAGTGTGTCAGTTCAAATGTTAAAACCCTCGTAAGTTTTGTTTTTTCCTTAGATGTTTTGCAAGTCAGATTATTTCGCTTCTTTGCTCTTCATATGTATGTTTCTTTTTTACTTCAGAGTTTAGGAAAATCTTTTTCTCAAGGCCCAAGTTTGGGCTTTTATTGAAGAAGGCAGCATTTCCTTACTAGTCATGAACCAAAAAATGCATCTCCAACTGGTAGAACTTCAAGCGTTGTTACAAAAATGTGAAGAAATGCTGGCCAGTATTTTGGGAGAGAGGAACTGCCCCCTGTTCAGTCTGGGAGTTAGCGCAGTCGGTTCTTTCTCTCTGTAGCTTCCTCTCCTCCTCCTTCTTCTCCTTTTCCAAACCCACTGGAGAGGCTGGGGTGGGGTGCGGGTTGTTGGGGGGATGGCACGGAGCCGCCTCTGCAGGGAGTTTGAAAGTCAAGGGGACGGGGTGCCTGCGCGCTGCAACTTTGGCCACAGCAGGGAGCTTTCCGTCCATGTTTATCATCTTAAGTGAGTTGCTACTGTTTCTTTCTAGTTATCGGAAGTGTCTTCCTGATGAATGATTTTAGAGACAAATGCCTTAGAGACTGAATGTAAAAGCTGTACATGAATAGAGCCTCTTGTGATGTTGTTCTCTTTGTCTTTTGCATTTTTTAAATTGCACTTTTAAGATTTTTTTGTTTGTTCCCAAATTTTATCCAAGAACTTCTACAAAATGTGCCAGATAAGTTTCAGTCCTCATATTCCTCCTCTCCATCCTGGTCAATCTGCAAGTAACGCAGTTCGTGGTTCTCTGTGCTGTTAGCAGCCGCACACACCAGTCACGCAGATGGGTCTTCAGGTGTTTTTTGGTGAGGTTTTCTAATACCTTTCGGGAAAAGGCACCTCAGAAGTTACAGTGATCCTGGCGCCTTCTCCTTTCGGTGGGTCTCTTCTGCCCCCATAACTTGTTTCCTGAGCCATGGAGCCCAACGGGCTCACCTCCTCTACCTCTGAGACTTTCTGAGTAAACTTTTGCTTTGATTTGAAGAAAAAGAAAAAAGTTACAGTGATCTTGCTCTTCTTTCAATGGTCACAACTCCTCCATCCGAGAGACTCCCAGCTTTTCTGTTCACTTTGATTCTCACCTGAAGAAACTGCTCAAAACTGGCCGCACCACGCCTGCCGAGCCCGCTTCTCTCCCTGCACCTCGGGCTTTTCCGCGGGTGCCGCGGGCAGTGCAGGCGGGCATCGCCGGAGGGTTTGAAGATGCGAGGTTTGTTTTACTTTTTCAGTAAGCTCAGGGTTGACCAGTATCATCCTCGTATTTTTGCCAAAAAATACTCTCCCCTTTTATACTATGTTAATTCATCCTGAGTCTCTAAAAACAAAATGAAGAGGCAAAATGATCTAAAACCTCGTGGTGACATAATTATTAAAAGACAGCTGTGGTTGGTGGACCATAACAGATCAGAGCAGTGGTGTCAGCAACACAACAAGCAAATGCGAAGTTTCCTGGTTCTGCGTTCAGTTCGCCTCCTTCCACTGTCGCGTTGTTAATACTTTGCCTAATCTGATGCATTTGAGTCCAGTTCCAGGTCTAAGTTTTGTGCTGTTTGACCAAGGAAGTAGAAATCACTGTGCGACGTTGAAATCTTTTTAATACTTTAATTTTAACTTGATCGTTGTCACTGAACTAGAAGCGGTGGTGGTGGAGAAGTGGAGCGGCATCAGAAGTATCTGCTTCGCCCTCTGAAAGGGGCGGAACGTAACGGGCGAAGCTGCTGGCATGAGCTGCCATCCAGTTATCGAGTACATGCCCCGGGGCGGTCCTTACTCTCCTCCCTGACAGTGTGCGCCCCTCGCTATAACACAGAGAGAGCTAGTGCCTGGGGCCCGCCTGCCCGCAGTTTGTTTTACCGGATTGTACGTCCTCCTGTGTCGGCACTGAGGTCACCACCCTTGTCGGACTGGGAACCAAGGGTGGGCCAGGGGAGGGTTTGGCCCTCGCCTTTTTGTCCAGGAGCGATCCCTCCGACTCCTGGCAAAGCCAGAGCCTGCGGTGTTTTCGGGAGGGAGCGCTTCCCAGCCTTGCAGACCCACAGAGTGCAGGTGGGGACACGGCGTGACTCCATGTTGAGCACAGTGAAGCCCAAATCCACAGTGCCTGCTCTGCTGCGGCGGCGGAAAGAGGTTGTTCTCTTGAACCGAGGGTCGGGCTACCTTTGCAGTTCGCGCTGGTCTCCGTGATCACCTCTCTGCTCCCTTTCCCGCCCACAGCTGTCTCTGAAGTGCAGAGCCCCCGAGGTCTCTCAGTACATCTACCAGGTCTACGACAGCATTCTGAAAAACTGACGGCCACCGGCGCCCCCGGCCGCCTGCGACCAGCGCCAGCCGAGAACTCTTAACTGGAAGAAAGTGTGTTGTCGCGTCGAGTCTGAACCCAGGCACACCGGGCCACCCTCCACGGTAGTGACTAGTGTAACCTGTGCTGAGTTAGGGCACGCCTGCTGGGTAGTGTTAGCCCCCCGTGAACGATCGCTGACCGCCGCGCCGGTCACTCCCCGCCTCTCGCCACCTGCCGCCACCGCCTGTCCTGACCTGCGGGCTCCCCGGCCGCACAGCGGCTGGCGCTTCGAGTGTAGTTTGATATTTGTAATCGAGAGCTCGTTTCAAAAGCAGAAAAAGACAAAAAACATTAAAGTAAGGGTAAGTGTCGCTGAAACATAAACTGCACTTTTATCGTTCTGTGTTTTTGTGCCTGTGGAAACGGCGGGCGCGGTGCGGCCGTGGCCGTGAGTCGGGGCAGCGGGCCGACATCCACCGCGCAGGCCGGGAGCGCTGGGCCGCCTGCGCCCTGGCGGGGCCTGACTGCGGCGGCCTCGTCCCCGGCCACTTGGATTTTCACTCTTTTTTCTCTCTCCAAACTTTTTTCTTGTGATCCCCCTGCCCTGTATTATCATCTCGTTCGCTCGCTCCTCAGTCGGGCATGGTGGTCTCTGTCCTGGCGCAGGAATAGGACCTGCCCCTACCGAGGCTCAGAGAAATTGGAACTCACTGCGTTCCTTTCCCGGCATCGGACCTATTAATGACACTATGAAGAATTCCTTTTTTTTTTTTTTTTAAGATTTTATTTAATGTTTTTAGACAGAGGAAGGGAGGGAGAAGGAGATGGAAACATCAGTGTGTGGTTGTCTTTTGTATGCCCCCACTGGGGACCTGGCCTGCAACCCAGGCACGTGCCCTGACTGGGAATCGAACTGGCATCCCTGTGGTTCACAGGCCGGCGCTCAATCCACTGAGCCACACCAGCCAGGGCCTGTGAAGGATTCTGAGTAGAGCTGGGGAACGGGGACCAAAATGCCCTTCCCCAACCCCTCTGCCCTGGTCCAATTCAGATCTAAAAAAAACATACTTTTACATTTAAAACAGACTTTAAGTAATAACTTATCCAACTCTTTTTTTTTTTTTTTTCCTGAAAAAAAGGGGAATGGGTAAAAGGCAGAAGGGTCTTACGCCAGAGGCCCAGCAGCGGGTCGGCAGCAGGGACGAGGGGCTGGGGCTCCTGAACGCCCGTCAGCGTTTTCCCTGCAGTGGCTTCTCGTTGATTTTTCCCCGCGATGCCTTGCTCTCACCTTCCCTGTGCTGCTCCTCTGTGGCTCTCATGCTCCGCACTGACCCGGGCCCTGCACTCGTCGGCATCAGGTGGCAGCAGCGGGTCTTTTCAGTCCCTGGAAGGTGCGTCCAGATGCCAGAATGAAGGAGCAGCTAATGTCTCCCCCGCGGTCCTGGCGCCGTGGTTCTCAAGGCCACCAGGGCGGGTGCAGAGGGGAGGCGAGCGCAGTGCCGTCCCGGACTCCCTGTCACTGCCTCTGTCTGGCTGCTGTTCGCTCGTGTTCTTTAGGCTCCAGAGCAACCGAGATCATCCCAGAAAGTGAAGAAGTTCTTGTCATTTCTCAAAAGACGGGGAGATGTGTAATCCCCTGGCTTACGGGTTGGGCGTGATTTGTCAGTTCCCGGAGCAGCGACCTGTCGCGCAGTGCTCGCCACTCCATCTGTGGGCACTTGTCGTGTGGCCTGGCGCCCAGGGTTCTGGGCCCACGACCAAGACTGCCTCTCAGTGGCCCTACTCCAGCCATAGGCACCTCGAGGTCTAAAGGTCTCACCAGAGAGGGTCCTGGAGGAGCCAACGCAGAAACAAGTGGGGGCTGCCAGTCCTGCTGTGTCGGAGTGGCCCCCCCGTCACGCCACTGCAGGACTCCCGGCGGGGCCTCCGAAGCAGTTTCTTAAACCTGGAGAATCTCGGGGGGCAGGATCAGGGGGTGAGGGAAAGGAGCTACATCCCGGAACTGTCACCACGCTGCAGGGCCCAGAGAACAGGAGGGGGGTGCAGGACCCTGTGGGAGGCCGGGAGGGTGGGGGCGGAAAGGCCGGTTGGGGGCTTCTGCTTGGGAACAAGAGAGGCCGTTGGATACGGCAGTGGAGGTTCACCACAAATGCAGTGTCTCACCTCAGATCGAACTCTGGTGGCAGAAGGGGGGGGTGTCGGGTGTGTGTCGGGTGCGCGGGCAGAAAGCAGTTTTGTATCACGAGATGTCTCAGTGCCCCCAGCACTGATGGGTAACAACTGCCTTTCTCAGCAGACCAGGCGGAGCTAATGCCAGACTCTCTGCTACTGGGTGGGGAGGCCGCCTCCCACCCCGTGCTCCCAGCACCGAGGGAGGGAGGGCCTCGCTCCTGCAGGGGCCCAGCCCAGGGCTTCCACCACTGCTTCCCACCTGGCCTTCCAGCTCAGGAGGACAGAGTGGAGACTGTCCCGCGGTCCCCTGTGCCCTGCCTACCACGTCTTTGTCGCGTCAGCGGGGCCCACGTCAAGGGCCAGGGAAGCACACGCACCCGGAACTCTTGCTGGTCAGAGAGTCCCGAGCGCCCCTCCCTGCCCAGCCTCTCCCTCGAGTCTGTTGTGGAGCTTGGGGCCCCGGAGAGAAATGGGGAGGGGAAGGTCAATGTCACTGAGAACATGTTCCATTCTTTTGTTGTTGGGGTCTGTTCTGGGGGGGGGTCGGGGTTGGGGGAGCTTGACCTTGTGTCTTCCTCAATAAATTTCATTCACACAAAGCAAGGTTTGTGGTGTGTGTACTTTGTTCTCAGACCGACTCGGGCAAAACGCAGCCGGCCGGGGGAGGGGGGCGCACCAATAACCACACTACCAGGACATTTCTTCTGGCGCCCCAGCCCTCCCAAGGGGAGATTAGGGTCGGCCTGAGGAAGAATCCAGAGGCCCCTTGAACCAAGCAAGCCCCGCACCAGCATCACCACCACAGGCTGCCTTAGGCAGGGGGTTGGGGTGGGGGCGAGGGGGGCCAGGCTGCCTTCCCTGGCAGGCGGTCCCCGGGGAGAAGGCTCACCGTTTCCTGTTACTCAGGCTGTGCCACTGGTCCCTCCCTGTATAAAAGGGCTTCAGCCCGGACTCAGGCCTGCAAGTCCCCAAGTGAGCAGAAGTGATGATGCTGTTTGCAAGCAGGCTTCCCAGGCAGTTCCGGTCGCCTCCCTCCGTGGCCCTGGTGCCTGTGGCCCGGGTGTTGTCAAGATACAGGCCCCACCCCAGCGTCCCCATGAGTGACAGCCTCTGAAATCTCCCGCAGCCTGGAGGAGAGGGAAGGGGCTGGGGGATCCAGTGCCGAGATGCCCTTGGAGGGGACCCTGCGCCCTCCGCCGGTCGAGTTGGTGGAGGCAGTCTTAGCACGTGGCACCTGGAACAGGAACTGCCCTTACTGCCTGGGACCCAGATGTGACGAATGAGCTGCCTTGGTGGCCAGGCGTTTTCTGGGTGGCCGTGCTGCTGGGCGGCAGTTAGCCCCAACCGTACTGGGAATGACACTGGGAAGGAGCAGTCTTTTGAGGTTCAGGGTCAAAGCTCTGAGGGGGATGGGCCTCACTGAGATGGAATTGGCTCACCAGCTGAGTGTCAGCAGAACTGAGTGACTCCTTGGGGCAGAGGCGCTCGGGTGCACGTTCACGTGTCACCCGAGAGCCCTGGGAAAAGGCCGGTGACTGTTAGCCGGGCTGGGGTGGGCCTGGGGGTCTGCACTCTACAAGACCCCGCTTCTGACGTGCGGTGAGGCTGAGGCTCACCGCCGCGGGGTGGGATTTGCCTACTTCCGCTTCCACAGCGATGCCCACGGTTTTGTGGGGTTGAAAGAAGTAAACACACTTTTATGCTCACAACACCTCACTGTCCCATGAACTGAGCATTATCTTTTTTCTAATCCTCACCCGAAGATGTGTTCACTGGTTTTAGAGAGGAGGGGAAAGAGGAACATGTGATAGAAAAACACCAGTCGGCTGTTTCCCTTACGGGCTCCCACCGGGGATCAAACCCCCAACCTCTTCTGGGGGCCGGGACACCGCTCCAGCCAGCCGAGCCACCTGGCCCGGCTGCGAGCATCGTCTTCGTTTTCCGTGAAAGGTGCAGTAGAGCCACAACTTCGAGGTCCTCACGCCTCGCCCCGCAGCTGCCCCTTCATTCCACCGAAGGTTCCCAGACAGGCCCTCCCCTCTCTGCACTCAGCCAAGAGCCAACCCTGCTAAGCCCCCGAGGCAGCGGTATGTCCACTCCCCAAAAGCGGGCCCACTGGCTCCAGACTTCCACCTGAGGCGGTGTGACCCTTCTCCGCCGGCAGGGTGGCAGCACCACAGGGCCGAGGCCCGACCGCGGCCGAGGACTCCCAGGTTGGAGCCTCCCTACTCCCGCCTCACACACGGATGCTTTTCCTGACGTCGCTGGGACTCAGACTTCTGTTCCCTGCCACTCCCAGCTCCAGGAGGCAAGAGCCTGTTTATTTTAGTACCTGGTGTGGCGCTTGGGAGCGGCGACACCTCCCCCGTGCTTACCCATTTCCATCCCCCGAACACTAACCCTGGAACCCCAGCCAGCCCCCATACATGTTACCAGAAACAAGGATGTTTCTTGAAAAGTTTTCAAACTTGCCATCTCAGTTTCTCATTTAGCTTTCGCCCCGCCATCCAGGATGCTGGCAACGAGGGCAGAGCTAATTCAGGGAGGCTCGTGGGATGCAGAGGGACTTCATTTCAGAAGGGCCCTTTGGAGACAGGACTGCCCCAATACTCTGGCGCTGAGAGAAGTCCACTCCTCCCCTGCCCCCCCCACGGTGGTGGTGGATGAAGACGTTCAAGTCCAGCCTCTGGCTCTCCCTCCCTTGTTTCATTGTCTCCACTTAATGGTCAGAGGCTCCAGGACACAGCCTCTGGAAGCCAGCGGGGTCCTCAGCGTGATAAGAACGGGGGCGGGGTAGGCAGGCTCCGCCTTGTCTTTCCTGTCCCACTGTGTCTGGGTCTCAGATGCCTCAGGTGGGCCTACGTGTCTCCCAGGGAACCCGAGCCTGCGCCCCAGCTGTCTGGTGTCCTCAGCTGAACCACAGCCACTCGAGGCTTGATTAAGGGCAGACAGACCCATGGACAGCGCCTTTCACCCAAGGTAATTCCCAAGGACTGAGGGGAATGAATGAGCAGGCCCCTGGCTGGCGCGCGTCCTTCGCCCGAAGGGACTCTCAGCAAACAGATGCCATAACTGAATCTTCAATCGGGCCAATAGTATTTTATGTTAATACGATGTTTTGTTTTGTTTTTTTTTAAGATTTAGAGGGGAGAGGAGGAAGAAAGGAAGAGAAACATCAGTGTGTGGTTGCCTCTTGGGTGACCCCTACTGGGGACATGGCCTGCAACCCTGGCATGTGCCTTGTCTGGGAATCGAACCAGTGACCCTTTGGTTTGCAGGTCAGCACTCAGTCCACTGAGCCGCACCAGCGGGGGCTGATGTTTTTTTTTAATATGTAAGTAATGTTTGAAATAACCTACCACTGGAGGCCAATAGGAGGCTCCGTAATGAACCCGTGGCTCCGTGCTCCCCTCATATAACTAAGAAGCTTTGGAGAAGCCTGGCCCCCGGTCAGGAGTGTGAGCATCGTGCAGTCTCTCATTTGTAGTCCACTCGGCCTGAACTAGAACCCAGTGGAGGGTCATGGCCCCCGGGAGTAGCAGCAAAGCTTGGGGTCCCTGGGAGGGTAAGGACTAAAGACCTTCAGATACACTGGGGAGGTGGATAGTGCCCCGGAGGGTTGAATCAAATTAGGAGGCACTCGGTGACCACTGTGGTCCCATGGGGCAGTTAATCTGCCGCCGCCAGGGGTCGTCCCCCGCCGCCACACACACACGCGCGCGCACACACACACACACAATCACAGAAGTAGCATTCCACAGGGAAGCTGTGTTCTCTGCCCAGCATTTGCTTTCATCTGCTGCCCTGAGCTTTCTCCTCATAACCACACCCTTAACTCTCGGGAGCCCACCCAGAACAACTGGGAACTTTCCCAAGGTGGTGTTCAAGCTCCTCTATATGTGGCTCTAGAAGAGAAAAATAAAGGCCAACATGCCAGGCACGGCGTTGAGGGCTGTGCACACGGCAGCTTTTTTTGCGATGGGACCTCCCTTTTATAAATGAGGCAGGTGGAGTTGGGGGAGTCCCGGTTAGTCGCCTTGGGTCCGTAGGAAGTGGTGAGGTCATGATTGAAGTCCAAATCTGCCTGCTCTGAACCCTGGCTCAAGGCCACTGTGCTTTGCTGTCTGAACAGGAGAGAACAGGGAGCAATCGCAATCGGGAAGGTGCCACAATGCAGAGTCCAAAGGGAGGATGAAAATGGGGGTCCCTGAGGAGGCTGTGGCCCTCAGGTAACAGAAAGTCACAGTGGGGGGTGCTGCAGCCAGAGATAAAGCACCTTCCAGAACTTCCTCCTCCCAGCCCTCCGGGCAGCTACAACACTACAGCTGTGACCAGTTGCCACCCTATTCAAACCTCTGGATGCCTTTTGGTCCCGCACAGGCTCCGTCCAAACTCGCTCGGCAGTCAAGGCCTGTGACCTCGCCCCAACCAGCCCCTTAGTCTCCTGTCACTCACCGTGGTCCTGCCCCCTGGGCCAGGTCTGGCTCCTAGACCCACTTTCAAGCCTCACCTGCAAGTCCCCCTCTTCCACACGTGACCCCCACCTTGCCACGCCGATTCCATTTCTTTCAAGGCTCCTTCCCTGAAGGCCGCCTCTCATTGGTTGGTCCACGCCCTCTGCCCTCCCCCAGAACCTTGGAGCACACAGGACCTCATTGGACTGTGAGCACCGTCCCACGCTCAGCGGCTGCCCAGCTAGGGACTCCCAGCCTTTGCATCACACATCAGTCACTTCAGTAAGACAAGTTAGTTTCTCTCCGCCTCAGCTATCTCCTCTGTAAAACGGGGGGAAGAGACTGGACCTCACAGAACTGCCAGGGTGAAATTTGGGGATAGGGGCAAAGCTGGGAGCACGCTGTCTGGCACGTAGTAGATGCTCATAAAATACTGGCTGCTGATAGTGGATTGTGCTGAAAACTATTGTTTTAGGAGAAATACGTGAGTGATTCTGCCCCGAGCCCCTGGTACCTCCCAGGCCGGAGAGGAGGAGGTAGTGGTCGTGTTTAGGGCTGCGGAGGTCACACCAGCTTTGCTATGAGCTGCCCTGGTCCGGAGTGAAGCCAGAGGCACTATCTCTGGTCCCTGTCCCCCATCCTCCAGGTTAGAGCTACAAATATCGCAGGGAGGGTCAGGGGGGTGAAGGTTGCGTCTAGGGGTTAAAGAAGAATTCGTCTAGGGTCGCCGAAGTAAATGTGTCAGTCTCAGGGACCCAGCGGAACGCCAGCACCTGCCCCCCCCCCCCGCGCGCCCCGCCCCGCCCCGCCCCGTCCGTGCTCCCCCCGCGCCCGGCTCCTTCCAGCGCTCGCGGGCGGCGCTCCGCAGGGAGAGCGGGGCTAGAGGTGTCTACCCCCTCGGCGCCCGCACTGTCCCTGCAACACCTCGGAGCCCGCCCCCACTGAGCAGCCGGGGCGCCCCCTCCCCTCTCCCCCCGGGCCGGGGAGCCTGGGCGCAGCGCCGGAGCCCGGGGGGAGCGTGGCCCCGTCGGCCAGGGCTAGGGGCAGCTAGGACAGCCCCAGGTAAGCTGCGGGAGGAGGGGGACGTGGGTGGTGCCGGGCTGGGGCGGGCGGGGGGTAGGGGGGGCGCCGTGGTGCTGGGGTAGGGGAGCGGGAAACGACCGAGGCGACTGGTGCCCGGGTGAGGATGGAGGAGGGGGCCAGTGGGCAGGCAGGGAAGCGGCGCGGGGCGACCACGTGAGAGCCGGAGCTGGGGGTTGGGGGTGCTTGCGAGGTGCTGGAGGCGGAGAGCAGGCTGGGCTCTGGCATCCCCCCCCCCCAGACTCCTACCAATCAGGTCATGGGGAGCCCAGCATCCTTCGAAGCCCCCACCCACCCATTCCTAAATGAACGTGGTGGGGACAAGCAGCAGGCAGACATGTGACTCGGCCCATCGGGACAAAAAAGGCCCGGTCCTCAGTCCGGGGCAGAGACTCAGGTGTCCAGGCGGAGGGGAAGGGACAGGCTTTGGCCCCTGTGTGCATCCCCAGCCTCTTGAAGCGGACGCTGTCTGCAGACTCACTGCAGAGCGCAGGCCTTGGGGAGGAAGTGCTCAGGGGCTGGGCCCTGCTTCTCTGGGCAGCCCCCTTTCACCTCCACCCTGCTGGGGATGATGGATTAATAGACACTTAGACCCAGGACCCCTGCCTGGGAAGAGGGAAGGGGCACCAGTCACCTCTGAGTCAGGGCCAGGGCCACACTTGGGCCTGGTGAGATCCAGGAGACGCCCCAGCATAGGGGCCTCCCATGCACCCTTCCCTGGCTCTAGCACCGAGCCCCGCATTTATTCCCCTGCTGTTTCCCCAACGGGACTGATTTCTGGGCAGGAAGGGTGGTGTCCAGGAGAACACGCAGGTAGGGAACATCCTGGATACCTCCAGGTTGCCACACCCAGAGAGAGGCAAAGGACTCTGGGTTCCTTGGCCTCTCTTCCTCCCCTAGGGTGTCCCCTTCCCCACCTGCTTGTGCTGGTTATGTAATTAGCTCGGCTGAGGCTCTGTCACGCTGACAGTGTCCAGGGAGGCCTGAGGGGCCTGAGGACCTGGAGGGTGTGATGGGAGGAGGAACGAGTACTTCCCCCTTTTGGGAGCCCGTAAGCACCTGTTGAGGAGAGGCCACTGCACAAGGCAGGAAGGACATCGAGGTCCTAGTCTTGGCTGACAACTTAGCTTGCTCTGTGGTGTTTACTTGCCTGAGCGTCTGTTTTTTGGTTCTTGCTTTTACCTTTAATGCAAAGGGGAAAGAATCACACACACACGAGTGTATGGGACAGCGGTGGGTAGGGACCCATCTCGGGACAGCTAGCAGGCCTCGGAGGAAGGAAGGACCGTGCGCACGCAGTGGCCACTCCTCACTGAACACCCACTCTGAGCCTGGCACCAGGCTTTACCTGCACGGCCTCACTCCAGCCTGGGAAGCGTCTCGCCCAAGTTCACACTGGAGGTGGCTGGCCGGGCTGGGACTCCAGCCTCGACGGGTCTCACTCCACACCCTGCCCTTTGTTTACTATTTCCGCACATCCAGTGGATCAGGCCCTTGGAACCAGGACGAGCCGAGGTGCTCTCAGCTGACTGAGCACTACACACACGTGGGAAGAACATGTGTCCATGCAGGAAACACACGGAAGCCTGCAAAGCATGCATGACCCTATCGAGTTCCAGCAAACCCACCTGCCTGGGACCCACTGAGCAGGCACTGGTGGTCCCCCTTTCTGGGAACAGTCCCCAAACAGGGAGTCTCAGGCATGCACCAGCCTCCCTGGTCACCATCTCCCCCCAAAGAGAAGGCACCCAGCTAAGAGATTTACATAGATTATCTCAGGGGTTCGGGCTACTGACCCGCAGTTGAATACATGTGCAGAGCAAGCCTCAGGTCAGACAGTGATTTGCCTGCTGGTGCACAGCTGGAGACGTCACAGCGGGGGTCCGTAGCCAAGCTCTAAAGTCACTGAAACGGAGCAAGCACGGAGCTAATGAAGCAATGGCAGGTCCAACCTTGTAGCGGCCCTTTCCTGGCCGCCGGCGCACCTGCTGTGTGCCAGGCCCTTGGCACTCGGGGGCTGCCAGGGAGTCGGACACCGCCTTGGCCTGTAGGCATTCACCAGCCGGGATCCCCGGACAGGACGTTGGAAGTCCTGTGGCGTTGTAGAAAGGAGTGGCTGGCGTTCCTGGTGGCGTGACTTTGGGTACCGTCCTTACTCCTGAGCCTTCGCTCTGGGTGGGCGTACCTGGCCCTCAGGCATCTCGTGTTCCCTGAGGACAAGCTGTGGGCACGCGGGCTAACCGAGCAAGTGTGCAACCAGTGGTGTCCTCCAGAGCCGCGTGGTCATCTAGTGCAGGGGTTCTCAGTGGGGGCATTGGGAAATGGGGAGGCACCTGGGTCGTCATGGTGACCGGAGGCTGCTGCTGCTGGCTGCTGGGGATGTAAAACCTGCAGTGTGCCAGCCGTCCTGCCCAATGACGAACTCACCCTGTAAGACGTGCCCGGAGGGCCTCCACTGAGATGCACTGGCCCAGCTTCACCCCTGAGGGGGAGGAGCCCAGACCCGGCTCCGCGGGGAAGCCAAGCTGTGGGGCTCTTTGCTCTTTCCATTGCTCCACAGTCTGCCTCGTGGAGGGCGGGGGGTGGGGGGGTAGAAATGGAGAAGGAAGGGTGGAGAGGATTTCGGTAGACGAGTCAGGGGCTCTGGGCAGGGGCAGGGACAGCTGCAGCGAAGGCCCTGCGGTGGAAAAGCGCAGCAGTGCCCTGGAAAAAGCCGGCCCACCAAGCCTGCCTCTTGTCCCCACAGCCCAGGTGGAGCCTGCGGAGGGCCCAGGGCGGGCAGGGCAGCAATGATTGGAACTGACGGAGGCTGAGCCCCCAGCCCCTGGAATATGCAGCCCAGGCGAGCCCCACGCATCGGCGAGGACTTGGTGGCGGCGCGGGGCGGGAGGCATGGTCTCCACCTACCGGGTGGCCGTGCTGGGGGCTCGAGGCGTGGGCAAGAGTGCCATCGTGCGCCAGTTCCTGTACAACGAGTTCAGCGAGGTCTGCGTGCCCACCACCGCCCGCCGCCTCTACTTGCCTGCTGTCGTCATGAACGGCCACGTGCACGACCTCCAGATCCTGGACTTCCCGCCCATCAGCGCCTTCCCGGTCAACACGCTGCAGGTAGGCGGAGCCCCACAGGCAGGCGGGGAGGCTGTGGGGGGCAGGAGGGGGCGGGGAAAGGCTGAGCTCCAGTCCTCTCCCTGCTCCCCCTGGCCCGTGGCCAGGCCTCCACCTGGGGCTTGGAGAGCTGGGGCTGCCCTGTGGGCCAACCCTGCTTAGATCCGTCCCAGGAATCCATTCACGTGCTGGTGAATTTCACCAGCATTTGATGAGCACTGTCATGTGTGCAGTCCCTGAAGTGGACACTGGGGTAGAATGGTCTGTAGAAGGGACAGCAGAAGAGATGGCCAGGACCTGGTGAAGGTGTGTTTTCAGGGACAGATCTCTTGCCCAAGGGCCTTAAGTGATGCTCCGCCCCTGCCCTCGGGACTGGCCTGCTGTGCCCCCTTCCTGCAGGGGGTGGTTTCAGACGCCCCCAGGGCACTGGCCAACAGCCCTCCTTCCCTGGACTACAAGGGCCAGGTCCTCCTTGCCTCTCTCTGCCTCTGGCTGGAGAGGGGGTGGGTACGTGGGGAGGCTGAGCTCTGAGACACGTTTGCCCACTGAAGGCAGTCCCTGACCCGAGTGTGCAGAGGCTTTGCTCAGAAGGGTGAACAGCAGTGGAGACAGGAAGGCGGGGCCGTGGTTGGCTAGTTGTCATTGTGCAAGAGCAGCAATCTCTCAGGTAGCAGCTAGGGAGGGGCATGGGCTCAGCCCTGCTCAGCACCCCTGGGCCGGAGGGCCTTGGCCCAACCCCAGGGACACGCGTTTCTGCCGTCCCAGGTGCAGGGGATCAGCACCAAAGGTGAACTCCTGACCCGCCCCCCCACCTTGGAGGCGGTGAGTCTGATGAGGTCAGGGTCTAGTTCTCCACAGGAGGCTTGAACGGTCGGCAGCCTGACACTCGGATCGCACTGCCGTTCTGCACGTTGAGCTCCACATAGTTTCCACTTTGTGTTGTGCGCTTCATTTTAACTTAATTTCAAGTTTGACAGAGGTAAGACACGACGTAAAAGTGCAAACTTGGAGTAAAGGTGCGGGGAGAAATCTCAGGCCACCCCTGCCCTCCTCACCCTGCTTCTTGCCCCTCTCTGTGAGCTGTTCTCGCTGTTGTTCCAGACTCTTTCTTCCAGTGCGTCTTCACACAAATAAGAGAGCACGGTCCCGTTCCACTCCCTTTCTTACACTAAAGAACTCCTCTGCACCTTGCGTTTTCCCTTCACGCTGTCGCCTGGAGGTCTCCCTGCATCATTCAGTACCTGGTTGGGGTGGGGCATCTTTCTTCCGCGGCCATCCCCTCTTGCTGGACAATGGGCTGTTTGCAGTCTTCCGCTATTTCGAAGAACCCTGCGACGGGGTGCCCTAGTGCATGGGGAAGAATGTTGTGGACATGTCTCTGGAAGGGCACCACTGACACCAAAGGGCTAATGCAGCTGGAGTTTGGGAGGTGTCCGAGTCCCCTCCCGGTCTAGAAAGTTCCAGTGCACGCAAGCGCTGCTTCCCCAAAACCTCGCCTGCAGTTTGTTGTCAAACTTGAGGATTTTTGACAATCCGATGAATGAGATGTGATCGTCTCAGTGTGGGTCTTCTTTGCATCTCTGATTAGCAGTGAGATGGAGCATCTTTTCATATGTTTAATGGCCTTTGAATTTCTTTTTCTGACAATCTTTAATGCCCTTTGCCTGTCCTTCTATTGGATTGTTGGCCTTTTTCTTTCTGAGTGGGTCTTGGATTCTTCAGGATGTCCAAGATCTCACCCCTAGAGCACAGGTCAGGGACACTGAGCAGAGAGCAAAATAAAACCCAAGAATCCTGCTGGTCACCATCTGAAAATAGAATAAAAATACACTCTTCCCCAACTTCAGTTGAAAAGCAGTCCTAGGGAGTGCTCTTCCCTTGGTCTGAGCCTCGGTTGCTCCTTCTACAACCCCTCTCCTCCCATCAGAGAAGGAGGCTGGAGTTAGAGGGTGCGTGCAGTGCCCCCCAGGGGTGAGTGGGAGCCGTGTGGTGTTGAACTTGCCTCATCCTGGGTCCTCGGAGCTGCCCTGTCTCCATAGCTCCCTCCTTGTCTCCACACAGCCCGTTACGGTTTTTGCCATACGATGGCACTAGTAGGGCTTAGCTGTCTTTAATTTCATTTGAAACATTTTTGTTAGATTGTATTGTGACAGCTGTCCCTCCGATCAGTGTCCATTGGAAAAAAACATCAAAATTGGTGGATTTTTGTGTAGCCATTTTAATATTGAAGATGGAAGAAAATATGCAACATTTTCAGCATAGTTTGCTTTATTATTTCAAGAAAAGTAAAAATGCAACCAAAATGCAAATAAATAAATAAATAAATAAAAAGATTTGTGCAGTGTACAGAGAAGGTGCTGTGACTGGTCAAAAGTGGTTTGTGAAGTTTCTTGGTACTATTGACATTTAAGCCAAATAATCTTTTGCTCTGGGCTTGTCTCATGCGCTGGAAGATGTTTAGCAGCACCTCTGGCCTCTCCTACTAGAAGCCAATAGCTGGAGACAGCCAACATACTCAAAATATCCAAGTCGATAGTATTATTGGTGAAGATGAAAAGTGTGTCTTTTATTGTACATTAAAAAATGTAACAGACTTTTTGGCCAACACAGAACAACCTGGAACCCTGCACAGAGTGAGCTGGAAGGAAAGTTGAGCTTTCTTGCTCCCTGCCTTCCACCAGGGTGAAGGGACAAGCCAGCAATTCAGGAGCCACCCTCCTCTCCCTTTTAGGAGCCTCCAGAGACAAGTGGGAGGGAGGCAGCCTGGAGGCCTCCCCAAGGAGGAGACGTGCTGGGGAGGAGGTGGGCTGTCACCCCGGAAGGCTGGCAGCTGTTTCCTCTCCCGGCACAAGAAGGGGGGAGCCACTGTGCCCATTTCCACATCCCTCCCACTTCCCACTGTCCTCCATTCGCGTGTGGGTTGGGGGAGGGGCCAGGTACATGTGCGGGTCCTATGCTCCTGGAGCCCACTGTGACCTGCAGAATCGTTTTCCCCGGCCTGAGAAGCCGGTGAACGGTTTCCTACAGTGTTAGATTCATCCTCAAGCATCTTCCCCTTGCACCGAAGTTAGAACTCAGCACACAGAAAAGATGCCACATCATCTCCCTGAGGAAATCTACTGCACCAGCTGCTAAGCGTTTGAGTTGGGAAGCCCTTTTCTGGAGTCAGACGTAACCCTGTCACCGCCACCAAAGTCTTTTCCTTTTCACTCTCTCTCTCTCTCTGGGTTGGAGAGCCAGCTATAGTGGCTGGCTTCCTCCTTCATGCCTGGTCTTTGCCCCAACTCACAGGCTGGCCCGGGAGACATGCCTGCCTCTCCTCCTCTTATTTTCCTGGCTCCTCAAGAGAGAAGACCCTGGCTGCCCTTGTCCTTGAAGGCCTCCACCTCCCCCAACTTCAGAGTCCACCTTCTTTCCACGCACTGGCTGCCTTCAACTGCTCTTGCAATTGCCATCTGCTGGCAAGTTAATTAGCTAATTAATTCTTAAGGAACCTTCTCGTTAGTGCACTCAGCCTTTCCAGGGGTCTATTCATCTTGAGCTGCAACCCCACCCTGAGAATTTGTCATAAGCGCGCAGGAAGCTCTGACTCCCAGGAGCTGGCCTCAGGCCCTGCTCTGCATCAGCCCCCATGATGCATCCAGCCTCAGTCTGTTCTCCTCGGGCCTTCTCCTTCTCAAACGCTGCTGTGGAACAGACAGAAGGGGGCATGCAACCCAAAGGGCAGGAATTATTGGCAGGAGTTGCCTTGATCCCAGCATGGCCCGGCTTGGGTTCAGGACCATGGAGAGCTCACCCAGTTAGGCGGCGAGTAAGGAGCCTGCTAAGAGCCCACACAGTGCAAAGCCCTGAGTGAGGACGGGGAGGAGGCACGTAAAAATGAGAACAGCTTGGCTCTGACCCTCTCAGGGGCTCGAAGCAGAAGAGGGGAGCTGGGGATGGCAGCAGCCCTAACCAAGGTATGCTCACAGGAGAAGAAGGAAGGGAGGAGTCCCCTGCTTGAAGGAAGGCTTCGTGGAGGAGGAGGCATTGAGCTGAGCCTTAGAAGCTAGAGGCCACTTCAGTAGGTTCAATAGCTAGCTCAGGGCTGGGTTCTTAGAGACACTATAAACATAAACAAACATGGATGGATGGATTGGGGGGCAAAATGGTACAAGGCAGGCCTCAGCCCCAATATATGCACAGGACCATGCAGTGGCCCTCAAGATCAGACCATGTGACCTGCCCTATCCTAGCATGAGGTGGGGAAGCCACAGCACTGAGCTCCACTCTGCACTGGCCCTGGCCTCCTGGGGATAAGTGGGTGCAGAAGGCTTTGGGTACGGTGGCCGGATAGGGTGCTGTTGGTCTATGGCTGGAGGTGGCTGGGGCCTAGGGGAGCCCTCACGGCCACTCTGACCTTGGCACCGATGGGGGGGCTGTTGCAGGAGTGGGCCGATGCCTGCTGCAGGGGACTCCGGAGCGTCCACGCCTACATCCTGGTCTACGACATCTGCTGCTTTGACAGTTTTGAATACGTCAAGACCATCCGCCAGCAGATCCTAGAGACGAGGTGAGGGCCCGGGATACGGTCCATGACCACCTCAGTGGATGCCCCAGGGCTAGCCAGGTCCCCTGAAAAGGGTGCATTGCGGGCAGGGGGTGCAGACGAAGTAGCCTCCAGTCCCCCCTTCCCCCCCCCCCACACACACGCACTCATGACATTTTGCTGTTAACTCATTTTGGGACACTTACACGGGTGGCAAGTCTGGTACAGTGGTTAGATGAGGGGCTCCGGGAACAAAACTTCAGTCAGTGACTGTGAGCCTCAGGCTCCCCATCTGTAGAATGGGGATAACAGCAATGCCCACCCTTCCCATCAACTGTGCAGATCAGAGAGTACAACGTGCTCCAGAGCTGCGCCCTGTCCCTGGAACAGATATGTGGTAGTTCTGTTATTGACTAGGCACAGCCTGCCCTCTTTGAAAGTCCAGTGGCTGCCACACGGGTGGAGTTCTGAGAGTCCCACCTCGTTCCCCAGGGTGATTGGCACCTCCGAGACGCCCATCATCATCGTGGGGAACAAGCGGGACCTCCAGCGTGGACGCGTGATCCCGCGCTGGAACGTGTCTCACCTGGTGCGCAAGACCTGGAAGTGTGGCTACGTGGAGTGCTCGGCCAAGTACAATTGGCACATCCTGCTGCTGTTCAGCGAGCTGCTCAAGAGCGTCGGCTGCGCCCGCTGCAAACACGTGCACGCCGCCCTGCGCTTTCAGGGCGCGCTGCGCCGCAACCGCTGCGCCATCATGTGACGCGCGCGTCCCGCCTGCCCCAAGGCTGTCCTCGGGCTGTGGCCTGCACAGCCTGGGTCGCCTCCGGATGGCGCTGCGGGGCTTGAGCTACGAGTGGCGGGAAGAGAACTCTCAAGTGCCGGGCCTGAAATGCCCCCGTAGCCACGCGTCTCCCCGTGGGAGGCAGAGGGCAGAGAGGGAGCCACCCCGTAACTGCCCGGTCCTCCCCTCTCCCGCATCTGTCTTCCTGGGACCGGGTCCTTCAGGGCTGTACTTAGTGCAGTACCCAGCCCGGCCCCTAGGGGCACCACAGCCTTTTGGAACTGGGGTGCGCGCCGGAAATGGAGGGTGGGGGTGGGGGTGGGGAGGTGTTGCCTTAGTTGGCCCCCACCCATGTTCTCCGAGAGCGTGTCTGTCATTTCCCCGTGTATTCCTTCCCTGTGTCCATCTGTCTGCCCAAGTGTCTCTTGGTCCTTCCCGGTCTTATCTACCCCTTGGTTCCCCGCCCCGCCCCCAGCTCCGTTCACAGGGCTCGCATTTCATCCACCCCCTTGTTGCAGATCCTGGCGGCTTCTCTGTGAGGTCCACCTTGTCACCTGTCGGCGCCACCGACACAGGACAGAGAGATGCGGGTGGCCTGACGACCGACAGCAATTGGGTCTGAGGGTTGAGGTCCCAGATCAGTCAGGGGGAGAAAACTGAGTTGTACCCCCCCAGGGAGACCTCCCCACCTAGCAGCCCCCAGAGACACAAAAACCTACCTTCCAGCCTTAACTCGATGGTCCGTCCCTGCCGGGTGCCCCTCACCCCTTTCCTGACCCCAAAGCCAGATCGCCCCCTGGGTTAAAACTTTTTTTCTTGACAGACTGTGAAGACAGAACCCCCGAAGGGGTATATTTAGTTCCATGACGCTGGGTTCCAGCCCTGGGTGGTGTGTTAGACTGGGAGATGCTAGGTTTGGGGGGCTGTGGGGGACAGGCTGGTTCTGGGGGTGGGATTTTGGGGGCCAGGTGGTGTGAGTGAAGGCTGTCTCCCCACCCCACCCCAGGCTGATGCCCAGACTGCTTACTTGAATCTCAGATTTCCCTAGTTAATCTGGGGAGGGGTAGAGCCAGAAAAGGAATTATGGGGACCCCTTGCTGGAAGGAGAGGTGCCTGTGTTCCCACCTTTAGATGGAGACTCTCAGGATCTGTGTCCTTGTCCCGACCCCAGTCGGCTCCTTGCCCTGGCTCACTCCACCCCATTTTCTCCGGCTGCCTGGCCAGGTTTCTACCTCTCCTCCCTGGAGCTGATTACTGTCAGAGTTTTGTACCAATTCAGAAATAACAAAAATAATGACGATACAAGGAGCAGCCTGAGGGATTCCTGGGGGACTTGGAGGTCACAAAACGGTGCGTGTCCCCTGCTCCGTGGCCAGAGTTCTCCAGGACAAGCCCTTTGCCCCAGTCTGGTGAGAGGGGAAGAGAATCCCTGGTGAGAAGAGAGGCACGTGGAACAACCCGGCCTTGGCCTCGCCCAGCTGCACCGTATAGACCAGGAAATCGGAGCCTGGATTCGCAATAGAGAGGAGTCTGGGGGAGGGACTGTGTGTGGGGGGGAGTGTCACCCAGATCCAGTGTGAGAGGGAATCTGTGAATTCCCCAGCGGACGCCCCTCCACCCACCTGGGTAGCACAGCCCTACAAATGACCACCATGGCCTTGGCTGGGCAGTCCAGTATCCCCGGGTCCTAGTCCCCAACATGCTCCGTGACTGGACAAGTGACTGCCCTCTGAGCCTCCCTCTGAAGCAGAGGAGGCGGCTCCCCTTCTCCACACCTGGCAGTGGCTGGGAGGGTGAGGGAGAGGGTCTGCCCCCTCATTTCCCAGGCCCTGCTGCCTGGTTCGCCGGGTGGGGAGGGTATGGGATGGCAGCATCTCACCATCACCGCGGCCCCCAGCTCTGAGGCACCCAGAGCAGGGGTGGCCGGGGCCCAGGCCCCTGGCTGGGCCTGTGGGAGCCATGGGACTGTACCGCCTGGCTGGCCCACTTCACCCCCTCCGCTTCACCCCAGGTCTTCGATTTTGATTTCCTTCACCCTCATTCTGAGTCTCTATGTCCTCCCTGCCCCCACCCAGGGCTCCCCACCACCAGGGTCTGGAAGTGTGTGTGAGGCCCGTTGCGCGGTGACCGGAAGTCAGATTAAAAATCAGGGAGTGTTTTCCCTCATTTCTGTACCAAGGTGTTGGCTCAGCTTCTGACAGTGGAAGGGAAGGATCTCTGCTGGGCAAGGAGAGCGAGGGTGATGGGTGACCCTGAGCCCTGACACCCAGGTCACCCAGGAGAACTACGGGGACGAGTTCGGGACTCCTCTCCATCTGCTCCTGATCAAACCCCTCTAGAGGGGAGGCATCCCGTCTCCTTCGGCCGCCGTCTCAGGAAACCTCTTCATAACTGGACTCGGTCCTGTGTCTTTGTCCTCTGCTCCCGTGTCTGTCTCACTTGCTGCTGAGCCACCGTGGCCTCTGTCCTTACTTCGAGGGGGAACACGTGTGGACACTCTCGACCGACCCCGAGCCCAGAGCGCTGCTCGGGAGCCGGGAGGGCGGCCTTGCCCCTGTCCGTGGTGCTGACGCCCCAGCCGCCGCCGCGGGTCGGCCGTGCGGAGCCAGGGTGGACCGGCTGCGTCGCCCCAGCCCCCTCCCCTGGTCCCCTTCCCCTCCGGTGGGAGAATGTTCGCGAATGTCCTAGAGAGAGGGGCTCGAGCCGAATGGAGACTCGACGACAGACCCACGAGTGTTTGATCACTTACAAGGGTTGTGGGAACGGGTGCCGGGCGTGGCCGGCAGACAGGAGTTTGGGGAGCTGCCCGGGGGCGGGGGCGGGCGATCGCACAGAGGGCGCCCCGCTGCGCGCATCCGGACTGCGTTGGAATGGGAGCGACGGAGTGACCGGTTTCCCGCCACCCGTCCAGGCTGGTGGCGGCTGTCGTCTCTCCTGGCCTGGCCGTGTCGCGGCCCGCGTGGGGCCTTTCCTCTGCTCCCGCAGCTGACACGTGGGCGCCCTCCCCGCATACTCCAGGAGGAGAAGCCCCTCCTTAGACCCAGGACTCCTCCTCAGGAGGGCGTGGGACTCGGTCAGGCTGCCCGGGTCCCGGGCCCGAAGGTTGGGCCCTGCCCTCCCTCGGAGCCGAGGGCTCACCCTCCTCCCGCTCCCCCGCCCGGGCTCCACCCACCCGGACCGCCTCCCCTCCCTCTGCACCCAGCGCCGACGCTCTCTCCAGCCTGCCCCTAGGGGGCGCCCTGGTGGGACCCAGGCAGAGGTGGGGCAGGGGCTTGGGGATTCGTGAAGGCTGCTTCTCAGGCCTGTGGTCTCTCCGGGGCCGGATTCTGGGCCTCAGCTTCAGTTTGTAAATAGATGGCACTCTCTGGGGCTTCCGGAGTGTTCTCTTGCCCTTGCCTGGACATGCCTTGGCTTGGTCGGAATTCGGGTCCGGGGGCGAAGGTGCGGGGGCCTCCAGGCTGGCAGGCAGAGTCGGGCCTGAGCAGTCTGGCCCTCCTGGAGCCGGGACCTTCCTGGTCTTGGTGCCCCAGACGCTCACGGCTGCCTTTGTCCTTGGCGCACTCTCTCTGTCTCCCAGCTGCCCTCCTGGGCTTCCTGGGCCTGTAGTAACAGCCAGCTTAGGGGAGCTGGTACAGGCAGCCTTCCAGGCCGCCATGTCGACTTTATTAAGGGGTGGGGGTCCCTGAGCCAGTTCTTGGATGACTTTGTCATAAGGACCCCCAGGCTCAGGCCACCGCACACCCAGGCTGCGGACATAGACTCCACTGCGAGGGATGAGTCCGGACCCTGGGCCCTGGGGACTAGCAGTCCCCACCTCTAGCAGCTTCTCATCAGCCAAAAGCTCCTCCTCAAGGCCATGGTAGACAGCTTGCTCCTTGGTCCCATCCAAGGTCGGAGAAGTGCACCTCCTCTCCTGCTTCTGTGGGGCCAGGCCCCAGGACTCTCCAGCTTCTGCCATCACCCAGGGATCTGGCTTCTGGGCCTCTTGCCTCCTTCCCACAGAGCAGTCCCCATGTCCGGACCCAGCCAAGACTCCAGTGACGACTCTTTGAGCAACAGAGCTTCTCCCTGATTCTGTCATGGGACCTCTGCTTGCAGTACCCGGGAAGCTTCCTCCTGGAGTAGGCGGTTGGGCATGAGGCAGCTGGACAGGGGTCTTGGTGGGCCCTTTACCAGGGGATGGAGAACGGACAGAGGCTGGCTCCCTGAGCTGGGAGGAGGCACCCTCAGCTTCACCCTGGGGCGGCTGCCTGGGGCCCATGGGCGTGGCAAAACTGGAGTAACGAGGCGGGGGAGATGGTCCTCTTGCTGGTGTCCCTTGGGCCGGGGCCTCAGGAGCTCCAGGTTGCTGTGGGGTGGGGACCGTGGAAGGGGTTCCCCAGCTGTCTGTCTCCTCATGAATCCAAGATGTAGGAGTCCTCCCCCTGGGGAGTTCAGAGGGGTATCTGCCCTCCCTCTTCCCTGAAGAGGGGCATTGTAGGTCTCGTCCCCTAGGGGTGGGTGAGGATTGGGGGCTGTGTAGACTGTCCCCAACTGACAGGCGCTCCCGAGATGGCTTCTGCTGGCACCTGAAAGGGAGAATCGCCAGGCTGGCAGGGCCATCCAGTCCAGTCCCCTGGCTCTGGGAGGGGAGGGCCTTTTCCCAACCAGAACCCCCAGAGGCCCGACTTCATGAAGGACACAGATACCCCCCCTGCCTCTGTGCCTGTCTAAGAGTCTCCCTTATGGCAGATACTGTTTAACATTATTCTCCACCCCTCCCTGTGTAGCAGATAGAAAGCAGCCTGGTCTGGACCCTGGGTTACTTCAGATGCAGCAACCACAGGTCACCAGTCTTGGTGGCAGGGAGTCTTAGTGTCTGCCCTACCACGAAATGGCAGAAAGGCCTTGGGTGGGCCTGTTCCCTGTGTGGGTGCCGCTTCCTCACCCGTGAAGTGGGAGGGCATGTGAAGTAGCTAGATGATCCCAAAGGTACTAGGTGCATTTTCTGTTCTGAACACCTGAGGCCTGGCTGGGGCAGGGGCATTGCCAAGAGACCTGCTCCCTTTATCTCGGGGAGGGGGGTGGCCTCTGAGAATGTGGACCCCGAAGGAGAAAGAGGCCCTGCCCCTTCCCGGTACCTCAGGAATGGTGCTGTCTCTCGGGGGCCTCCTGCCCCTGCTCCCCATGCACTGTGGGGTCTGGGCGAGGAGGCAGGGGGCCTCAGTTTTTGGCTCGAAGAGGTGTACGTCTTCCAGTCCACAGGGGGCGGTGGGCTCTGGGAGCGGCTGACGGTCATCGTGGGCTGTGGCTGGGACGGCTCGTCCTGCACCCTCACTTCGTGCTGCACCGGCGACCCCCGGGCCTTCGGAGAGCTGCCTGGCTTGTGTGCTGCCGACACAGCCCCCAGAGAGGGAAGGAGGAGGGGGTTCGATTCCTGCTGCACACCCGCATCAGAGACAAGGGGGCCCACGGTGGCAGTGGCAGGGACAGGGACAGCACCCGTGCCAGCATTTCCTCACCAGGGTTAGGGGATGAAATCTGGTCAGAGGGCTGGGGGCGGGGGGCAGCAACTTGTTTACAGCTGCGTTTGTATTGCAAGTGCACACATTTTGCTTACATTGCATGCTTGCTTGTGGGCTGGGGGTGCTGATGGAGAGACTGTTGGAGGGCGAAAGACCCTTCAGGTCACGCTTGGTGCCCTGTAGGCGTCAGAGCCAGACCTAAGCCCTGCCTAGAGGAGCTCCGACCAAACGCTGATTCGCTGGGTGTTTGTCGCCATCCTGTGGCTGTACTTGGTGTTGCACCATGCCTGCTCGGCTTTCCTCCAGGGCTGCGGCCGCGCCACACCTGTACCTTCTACGCTGTGGGATCCACCGCACCTTCCTGTCTCCATACACCTCTCCACACCTCTTGCCCCTGGAGGCCCAACCTGCCTCCCGCTTTCGGCCTCCCGACCCAGAGCACAGGGAGGGGACTCTCCAGGCACTCACACAGGGACGTACACCGGCAGGGGTCGTGTTTGTCCAGGTAATGGCTGAGCGTGTCCCAGCCGCCCCCAACACGCACCATCACGTGGTTCCGGAGGACCTGCAGGGGGCGAGGGTGAGATTCAGGGCAAAGTGGGGAGTGTCCTCTTTTCCAGGACCAGCCCGTGGTCTTCCGGCGCACACCCATGTCCAAGTTCGTGTGTGCATGCATCACTCCCTGACACACGTCCGCGATGGGCGTCAGATAACACTCGTCGTCCAGGGTGGGGGCAGGCCGACAAACACAAGGTCGCCCACAACGGGTCAAGGGCCCTCGCAGCTCTCTCTTCTCTCCCTTCGCTGCAGGGTTACCCTGCACGTGCCTGTGTTAGGAATGGGGCCCTGGCTCTGCCTGATGTGTGTGTTGGAATGGATGGGGGGGGGGGGGGGGGGCGCGGGATCTCAGCCCCACTGCGCTCTGGGTCACATCGCCTCTCCAGGCCTCCGTTCCCGCAGTAAGAGCGGGGCCGCCGTTCCTCGCCCCAGCCCACCTCACGAGGCTGTTGGCTCAGGGTCTGGGTGAGGGCTCCTAGAGCCGGCTCTGCCCCGCGTTGTGGCGGGCGCCCGACAGGGCTCGGCCGTGTCCCTGGGTACGGAGCTGCTGGCCACCCTCTGAGGCGTGGCAGGCTGTCGCCGCCGCGGAGCCGCGGTGCAGGGGTGGGGGAGGCAGTGGGAGACCCGTTCGGGCTCCTGCTCCCGCTCACTCCGCAGAACGCACCAAGTCAGGCCTCAGAGGGGGGAGCGTGAGGCCTGCGTGCCTGGGTCCGGCACTGCACGCAGACTTGGGGTTCTCAAGGCCCCCGCTCGGACTGAGCCTGTGGCTGCGGTGCAAGTGATGGAAATAAGGGGTACCCCTCATACCCCACTTCTGCCTGGGAGTCAGGCAGAGCTGCAGACAGAAGCGGGGGGTCGTTCTGGCTGCCCTCATGGGAGGGGGGGGGATAGGCCTGCTAACTGAGGAATCTTCTGGAATTTTTCGAGGGAGAGAACACAAGTCCCAAGGGGTGAATGGTGACTTCCTGTCCTTGCCCTCGGCCTGGGCAGGGTCCCATGGGAGGAAACCTGAGTCTGCTGACCCTGAGGGCCCTTCCACCTCTGTCCCCACACTTACCCGGATAAAAATGAGGGTGTTGGAGTCGCCCACCTGGTACTTCCCCTCAGACACCTTGACCATGGAGAACTGAACTGGGCACGTGCAGTGGCTGACGAGGCTCTGAACCTGCAGGGCAAGGGGCTCAGCTCTCCCTCCGCACCTGTGCCCCAGCTCCCCACCGCCCACCGCCAGGTGGAGCCCAGCGGGGGGTCTGCCTGCCCCCAGAGCCACCCCAAGGCTTCCAGAGAGAAACATCAATTGGCTGCCTCCCACGCACGCCCTGGACCAGAGACCAAACCTGCCACCCAGGCATGTGCCCTGACCAGGAATCGAACCTGTGACCTTAAGAGCACAGGACACATTCCTACCGGCTGAGCCACACCAGCCAGGGCCGGGGAGGGAAGAATTCTAATGACCCGGGGAGAACAAGACCTTGAGTGGTCACCAATGGCCCAGCGCCCTCGGGGTCCGCTGGTGAAGGCGGTGGGCTGTGATGGGGAGGAAGGTGGGTTTGGAATTGGAGGGGGTCAGCCTCCCTGGCTCCGCTGTAACAGGCCCTGGGCAAGTTGAGAAACCTCCCGGCCCCCAGCTCTGCGGTGGGGGGATGGGGTTCACCGCAGGGAGAGCTAGGTGCTCCGGCCGACCCCGGGCCCCTGGGCCAGACACTGTCCAGAGCACTCCACCCGTCGGTCAGAGGAGCTGGGCACTCTTACCGCCCCCCGGCGCCATAGAGAGGGGACGGAGGCACAGGCAGGTTAAATAATCAGCCCTAAGACCCCCTCTGCGAAACGGGGGGACTCGGGCTCGACCCCAGGGGTCAGAGATGGTGCCAGCGGCTGGGTTCTTAACAACGCGGCCCGGGGGTCGTTAAGTGTGGGGGGTGCAGAATACTGGATTGGTAACAAAAACGGCGTAGGCGGCTTAGCTACTATTGTGAGTGATTAAAGTTGAGGCTCAGAGCGAGACAGGACTCAAAGCCAGGCAGTGGATTAGTGTCCGGGTGCCGGGCGGGGGCAGGAGCAGGGGTGGGGGCAGGAGCAGGGGTGGGGGGAGGGCAGAGGGGCAGGGCCCGGGGAGGCGGGGCCAAGGAGGCGGGGCCTGGAGGGCGGGTCCGAGCAGCTCACCATCTGGTCAAGGTTTCGGAAGTGGCAGGGCCGCCGCCTGGGGGGCGCGGGCGGCCGGGGGTCCGGCGGGGGCAGGGCCAGCTCCTGCCGCAGCTCCTCGTCGATCTCGTTCTCCAGATGCACCAGGGTGGGCGCTGCGACCCCGAAGCGCCAGGCCCGGCGGCCCAGCTCCAGCAAGCACAGCACCACGTTCTTCACGTTCTTGCGCCGCACCAGGTCCTCCGTCTCGAACATCAACACCTCTGGCGAGGGACGAGGGGGCGCAGGGAGGGGTGGGCAGCCTGAGGCCGCTGGCCTTCCCGGAGCCCCGCGGGCGGGAGAGCCCTGGGGTCACTCCTGGACCGGGAGGCCTGTCACCAGGTCTGGTTCTGGTGCTGCCAAGGCCAGGAGCCCTGTGGGGAGGGGGGTGGGTCCGGGCAGAAAGGCTCGGGCACTGGGTGCAGATGAGGTGGCCCCCGTAACAGGAGAAGAGGCGGTGGGGGCGGAAGAGGTGACACAGCCAAGCAAAGGCCCCTGGGGCCTGGCTGTGAGATGGGGTGAGAGAAGGGTTAACTCCACCTCCTACCCACTTGGTTGCCAGGACGGGTCCAGAAGCAAAAAGCAGTTTGTTCTGCTCCAGCCAGGCATCTCCCACTCAGCCTGCAGCCCACGCACAATGAGGCGGGTGGGGCACAGGCTCTGGGGCTGCCAGGGGTCCCTGACACTCCCACCCACCAGCTGTGCACCCTTGGCCTGTCCCTGAGCCTCGGTCCTCTCTTCTGTGCAATGGGGACATAGTCTGTTTCACCAGGTAGTTGAGGGTAGTTGCTAGTGTTTGCAGATAAAGCGCAGCACATAATAAGTGCTCGATAAAACACTGGCTTTGCCCACCCCTCCAGGCCTGCCCCTTGCTGCCTTGCTACCAGCCAGTAGCCTGGCCTTGGCCTGCCCGCTGCCTCGCACCTGCAGCCTTTGACCTGGAGGATGTCACAGGATCTAGCTCCATCCCACTGCTGGGTCCAAGGCCAAGGAGACAAAAGGTCCCGACATGTCACTTTCCTGAGTCTCATCAGCCCCAGCACACCTGGCCCCTGTCTAACACCCAAGTCTTTGTCCCCTGCAGCCTTGCCTGGTCCCTCCCCACCACAGCCTCTCCCAGTCACCAAACACCTTTGCTGTTCCCCTGTGTGAATTCCCTTTCTCCAAACTTCTCTTTATGCCTCAGGCCCAGCTCACATCTCCTTCCTCTGTGGCCGTTCTCTGCCCTCACATTCCACCCCACCAGGTCACACACGTGTGTTCTCCCCGGCCCCCAGCACACACGCCTCTGCTCTGAGCTTCAGTCACACCCGGCTGGAATTTGGGCATTTGCTCCCTCGACTCTCCATCCTGAGCTCCTTGGACGCTGGGTGTCAGTGTCCCGTCCTCAGTGCCCAGCCTGGTGCCTTACACCAAGGAGGGGGGCACTCGGGGTGTGTTTGTCGAATGAACAAATCATTCGACAAACACATTTATTTATCGAGGATTTACTATGAGACAGGAAAACTGAAGAATGAAGAGGGATGAGCTGGCCCAAGGCAACTCTGGAAGGAAGACCCTGGCTTTAACCCTCAGGGCAGCCTGGGCCTCGGAGAGGAGGTGGGCGCCCAGCGGGGTGAGGGTCTGGGCGAGGGGAGGTCCAGGGCGGGTACCTTGAATGCCCATCTCCTTGCGACACCACTGGATGAAGTTGGAGATGTTGTCCCGGGCCTGGAAGGTGCCCGGCTGGGCGGCCCCGTTGCAGGAGACCCCAGCCCGAGGCATGCGGGTCCTTCGGGCTCGGGCTGGCGCCTCAGCCAGGAAGGCCAGGGCAGCCTCGGTGACGGCGTTGGCGTGCCGGCACAGCACCAGGCCCGTCTCCAGCACCTGCAGGAAGTTGGCCGCATCGATGTCCAGCCCGTAGAGATCCCGAAGCCACTCCGCCAGGTCCTCCTTCATGGCTTCCAGGTAATGCTCACTGGACTTAAAGGGCCGGATGCTGCACACTGGCGGCCCAGGGGGCCCGGGCCTCCTCCCCCGTCCCCCAGGCTGGGACGTGGCTTGTCCCTTGGCAGGGGAGGAGGTGGGCATCTCTTTTCTCCTGCTGCTTCGGCTTCAGTCCTGACACCTGCTGCGTCTTGGCTGGTCCTTCCTGGCCCCTGGTTCCCCTCAGAGGGCCTGGAATCGGGCTCAGCCACTTGCCAGTGGCTTCAGCTGCTTCCACCAGGCCAGCCAGGTCCCTGCCCAACCCCCCACCCTGGCATTCCTCCGTCTCTGCGAGAGCTTTCCCGACTGGGTGGCCCTCAATGACCTCAGACCCTTCTCCACCTGCTGGGACGATGGAGGTGAGAACGCTCTTATCCCCCTCTGGGCTGGACAGGTCGCTCTGGCCACCTTCCACCCCCGACAGCCAGGCAGGGGGCAGCGGAGCCTCTCCACTCTGCCCTCCTCTCCTCTCCTTGGAGACGGAGGCGGCTGCTACAAACACTCCCTGTCAGCCCTTCCTGGCAGGCAAGGGCGGCCCTGCAGAGCCCGCCCTGGAGCAGGAGTAGAGGTGGAGTTGAGCTCGGTGGGGCTCCTGGGGACTGGGGGGAGGGAAAGCAGGGCCAGGGGTGCTGTGGCCCTTGGTGTTTAAAGATCACTGTAGGGTGGGAATGAGCTAGACACTGTGATGAAGTCTAAAGACAGGAGTTCGGCCTGGACGCTTGGCTAAACCCCTCTGTGACGTTCACATGCTACCTAGCCTCTCCGAGCCTTAGTTTTCGCAACTGTGAAGGGCAACTGTGAACACGCTGAAGTGCAGACACCTCTCATATGTATGGGCTGCAGCTGGGGTGCGAGCCCTGCCTACTGGGGGCCAAAGCCACCCTCTATTCTCTTTGAATGCCTCTTCTCAAGGGAAGGTAGGGGACACCTGGATTTTGAGTGCTTTGGGAGGTTCTAGAAAGGGTCTGAGTGGAACCCTAGGGGCAGGTGAGGTTCTAGCCCCGCCCCTTGTGATCCCGACAGAGGCCCTAGAGACCAGACCAGGTTCTGAGGGTTCTGGCTGCTCCCTCTTCCCCGGGGCTCTGGTCAGGAGGAGAGGGCGGCACGACCTTGGGAAGGATGGATAAGCACGGTGAGGGGGCCCTGACGGTGGGTGGACACTCCAGCTCACCCCCAGAGTGGAAGTCAGCCTTTTTCCGTGATACCCTTCCATGTATAAACCCTCTCCTGGGTCTTTCCAGAATGTCTCGATATCTGCTCCCTTGTCTTGCCCTCCTGCTGTTCAGGCTTTTGTCTTCTCCACCCTGGACCCACTGTAACTCCTAAGTGGGTCTCCCTCTGCCAGAGGGAGCGTCCTAAAACACAGCTCTGAGTGTGTCCCCGCATCAGAACGCTCGGTGGCTTCCCGCTGCCGAAGGGCCATGCAGCCTCGGGGTTGCCTGAGCGCCGTAGGGCGGGCATGAAATAGAGGCGGCGGTGGAGCCCAGACACCCGAGTTCAGCTCCGGGCCCTTGGCTGAGTCCCCCAGTGACCTCAGAGGCTGCCGAAGTCCCAACTCCATAGCCCAGCACCCAAAGTCCCAACCTTTCTTTCCCATTACCCGCCTCCTGAAAAGTGCCCAGCACCCCTCTCTGGCTGCGCGCTAGGTGTGGCCTCTCACAGCCAGAAGGCTCCTCGATGTGTTTGCCTAAATAAAAGCAGAGTGGGCCCCGGTTCTCCAACTTGAGCAACACCAAGAACTGGCAGAGTCTTGGGAGTAACTTGTCCTGAAAGGTGTCCCAAAGTCTCGGATGAAATTCAGAGGCCCTGCTGTGACCCACCTCATCCGTCACTTGCCCGAGGGGTGTGAAGATGAGGGAACACAATGCGTGAAAGAGGTTAGGGTGGCGACTGCATGTGGCTGGTGCCTGAGCTGGTACCTGTGAGCTGGAACACTAATTTCATTGCCATTCCCCTTTGTCTCCACCGTCTTTAGGTTGGGCAGGGTCCGTGGTGATCTTTCTGGACCTTTTTTGGGTGAACCCCAGGGGATGTGCCTTCTCTGTCCTCCTCCCCTTCTTGTCACCATGAGGCCAGCTCCCCAGATGCACGAGGGCCGGTGTCTTTCGGGGGGGTGGCCCTCTCCCAGTGAGGCAGTTTACTTTCTATGGGGGCCCAGGAACTTCCTGTCTGCAGGGGCTACCCCTCGGAGCAGGGGAGTTGTGCCATGAACAAAGACACCAGCTAGAGGGGTCAGCGGTGGCTGAAACCTGCCTGGCAACTGGGCTCAAACCTGGAAGGAGGAAGAGACGCCTCTTCCTAATTGGTCTGCCCACAGGGGAGTCTTTTTCTGATTATTCTGCCCACGGAAGGTGCCTTTTTCCAGCCCTAGGGAGGTGCTTTGGGCCCACCTGTCCACCCACCCTGCCACAGGTGATGCTGGGCTTCCTTAAGGCCAGACCCACTGTGAAGAAGGAAGTCCCATCTAGAAAACAAAATATAAACCGCTGTGTATTAAGATTCCAACCAGTGCCCTTAATGTTTATTGACACGCTACACAGGAATTAGTGCCTGCGGCAGCCAATCAGAAGGAAGGGGGGGTTCCCTCTGTTCCAGGGTCGCCCCTCATTGCTGCCTCCTGTGGACTGCCTCCCGCAGGCCCAGCCTTTAGGTGCCTGGCTTTGCGGGGAGGGAGTGGGGGGCGAGGGGAGTCGGGTTGTGGGTCACAGTCAGGGTACCCAGGGGCAGTCAGCCCGCACTGACCTCTCCGCCCGCCCGCCCGCAGGCGTGAAGACCCCCTTGTGGAAGAAGGAACTGGAGGAGACCGGGGTCAGGGAGGAGGAGGCAGCGGAGGAAAGATCGGAGGAGGAAGACGAGGGGAGGCCGTCGCAGGAGAGCACTGCGGAGAGCGAGGCCGAGGGCCAGGAGGCGGAGGGCGGCGAGGGCCGCGAGCAGGGCTCGGTGTCCTACTGCCCGCTGCGCCAGGAGTCCAGCACCCAGCAGGTGGCGCTGCTGCGAAGCGCGGACCTCGGCTTCTGGGGCTGGCTCCTCCCCTTGGCGCTGCTGGGCGGCCTGAGCGCGCAGGCCGACAGGTGAGGGAGGGCGCGCCCCTCCAAGCCGCTGGACCCGAGGGGACTGCGCGGCGCACTGAGCGTCGGGGTCCCTGTTCGCAGAAGGCGGAGCCTCCCGGAGGAGGTGTGCGCGCTGCAGACCAGGCGGCGGCCACCGCGCGGCGGGGGCTGTGAGCTCTGCGAGATCCTTTTTTGCAAGAAATGCGGGAACCTGCACAGCAACCCGGCCTACATAGCGCACTGCCTTCTGGAGCACTCGGATCTGGGTAAGGCGCGGGCGTAGGGCGGCCAGGGACCCCGGACTGCCCCTGCTCAATGCCTTTGTGCCCTTCATTTTCTCCGGATCCGACTCCCTGAAACTTCCTCCTGTCCTGTCCCCTGACGCCGAGCGCTCTCCAGCACAGCCCAGCGCTGCCCCCTGTCAGAGCCGCTCTCCGGGAACGCCCCCTCTTACACAAGCTGACCCACCTTCTATGTGGCCAATGGCGGGACCCAACGTCACCTGGAGCTCCATTCCTCCCGTAGAGCTCCTGGGGGCTCCGGTCCCCTGGCAGCGTCCAGGGCCTATTGCCCACCTGACTCGCGTCCCCTGGCACAGCCTCACATTCATCTCTTGGGTATTTCAGGTCCTTCTGGCGGCAGAAGCATGCCTGGAGAAAATAACCTCGGGTTCTCTCACCCCTCTGAGAAACCTGCTCCTTCCACTCAGATCATCCAATAAAGCTGTAAGCGAAGTGTCAGTGCCTTGAGGTGGGGGCGAGGCGGCTGGGGGGGGTGAAGTTGACCCTCCTTGCCCTCTGTAGGGGTTCAAGCCAGAGAACAGGGCACGCGGCGAGCCTCCTCCCTCCGCCTCCCCCAGGACAGGGCGGCGCAAAGCACTGGCATCCAAGGGCAGGCAAAGGCCATGGTCCCCACTGTGCAGAGAAATAAAATTAAAAGTGAAGGCACAGGGCCAGGAATGCCCGTGGGGAGCTGAGGGCCGAACCTTGCCAAACCATTCTCCCCGTTCCCTGGCTGAGGTCACTGAGCACGCAAATGAGACACCGGCATGTGTGGCGGGGTGGGCAGGGGAGTGGGAGGTGGAGGACCCGAGAACCTGATGCTAAAACGCTGACACTGGCTGAGGCTGAAGGCACCGCGGCGCCGGGAGCTGGTGCCTCCTCCAGGAATCCCAGCTATTCTTGGGCAGCCGGCAGGAGCCCCTGGAATGCGGCGTGTGCGGCCTGGAGAATGGGGCGACTGTGCGCACAAGGCCTTCCCCGCCTGCAGAGTCCGCAGCGCCAGCAGCAGTGCAGACCTCCAGAGAGGCCCCTGTCCTCTCCCTGCCAAACGTGGTTCTCCGTCTGGCCTGAGGGCTGGGGGCCCCGGGGGAGGCGGGCGGTGCAGGGCAAGGACCTTTAGTTTTTGAAGAGAGGCAGGCCCCCTCTTCCCATCAGAACCCCTCCCCACCCCACACACACAGCCTGCAAGTCCTTGCTTGGTGGGAAGAACATGGCCTCTGCCTCCCCAGCATCCATGCCCACCTGCTCTCACTGGAAATTATTCCAAGGAAGGCTGGTGTCACCAGCTGGAGACACCTCTTTATTCCAGGCTCCTGCAAAAAACTGGGGCCCAGCAGCACAGCAGCCACCTCCCTCTGGCTCTGGGTCCTGACCCTCCTCAGGGCCTTTGAGGTGGGAAACCCTCACACCCAACCCATCCAGGCTTCCTGGGGTGGGGCCTCTGGTTAAATACAATAGGATTCTCCAAGAATTGAGCCAGAAGGTCCCGAAGGGAAGGCGACAGCCTTGCAGAGTGGCCCCGACCCCTCAGCCGACACTTGCGTCCTCCCTGGTTGCCCAGTGCCGCCACCTCTCATACAGGAACTGCGCCCTTCGCAGAAAAAGGCAGATCCCCAAGGCCTGGGGAGGAAAGAGTCTTTGGAGAAACAGCCGTGGAGTCTGGGACCCATTTTGGCTTCTCCTGGGATGGACCCTGGGGTGGGGACAGCACCGAGACGATGCCACATTCTCCAGGCACAAATGCAGACAAACGTCTCTGCTGGGTCTTCGGCAGGGAGGTACTGAGGCTTCCAAAGCAGCTTCTGCCCCCAGGGCAGGGAGCCCACGTCGGCCACGGGAGCACCCACCGTTCTCGGAGAGGTGGGTGTGCCTTCAGAACAGGGCGCCCCCCGAGTTGACGTGCCAGCAGCCCATCCAGGGCAGCTCTGCCGCCCAGCGGCCCGAGGCGGTCACCCGTAGTTTGTTCTGGTCCAGGTGCCAGTAGCGGTCATCTCTGAAGAAGATGACGGAGCCGTCTGGCTGGGGCAGGGCACCGCTGACCTCTTCGGGGACGCCACCCCAGTCCTGCAGGCCTCGAGGGTAGTAGGGCTCCACCTGCAGCCCCCCTCGGGCCAGCACATAGTAGCGGGCGCCCTTGAAGAGGACCAGGCGGCTCAGAGGAGGAAAGAAGAGGGCTGCGTCGGGGTGACGGGGCAGGCCCCCCGTGCGGCACGGCTGCGGGGACCCCCACACTGGCTCGGAGCCCCGGAACCTCCAGCATCGACTCCCTGTAAGGCATTGGGAGAGCCAGGGTGAGCTGGCAGCTCTTAGCCTTTGGTCCTCGCCCCCCTCTGTCCCCCCATTTCCCTACTCCTTCTCGTGCTGGAGCCCAAGGCGGTTAGTATTGGCGGTAAAATGGATCATGCTAATATTTAATTACTATGCTAATATTTAGTTACATGCGAATACTGGAGAGTAGGGGATGGACTGTTGTGGCCTGGACTTCCAGCAGGTGCCAGCAGAGGGCAGGCAGTGCTGAAGGAACATGTCTGCCCCCTCCCTGGGTAAGGACTGGACTCCAGGGAAGGCCACAGGCTTCCCTCACTGACATTACTACTAACAGTCTTAGGAGGACAGGGAGCTTTGTGTGGTTCACTAATGTATCCCAACACCACCACTGTGTCTAGGGCATGGAAGGCATTCGATGTTTGTTGAATGAATGAACACTGTTTACTGAATTGAGTGCACACTGTTCAGGCATTGTGCTCTTTTCATCCTTATTCCCCAAAACCTGAAGGATTGTTTTCCCCATTGGAGAATGTCAGGCTCCGAGAGCTAAGGGACATGCCGGACCTTGCAGAGCCAGAATTCCAAGGAAGGTACCACTCTCTGCTGAGTCGCAGAGCTCAGGAGTAGCCCTTGGCTTCCTTCTAGAGTCTTCCCTGAAACCCTCCCACCCTCTCTCTCTAGGACAACCCTGATACCCCCCTCCTCAATCCACCACAAAAGGAACCTCCTGGTAGCATCTTCCAAGTCACAGGCTCAGATTGGAATTGAGAGGCCCCCTACCCCCCACCTTTTGGCTTGGGCGGCAACCTTTCCTCTCTGGTCTCCGCTTTCTCATCCGCCCTGGGGCCGGTACCTTTGAAGAAGTAGAAGTCTCCACTCTCCAACGACACTGCAGCGGCCTCGATGTTGGGGGGCAGCCCGGCCCACCTTTCCTGCAGTGGGTGGGGCTCTGAGGCATTGCCATCAGCTGCCACCACCCAGAAGTGGCTCCCTTGAAAGATGTACAGTCTCTGTTGCTCATCTGCCCAGAGAGACGAGAGGGAGTTGAGCCATGACCCTCCCCCTCCTGCCTTTCTTCCAGGAAAGGTACATCCCTAGAACGCAGTTTCCCAAACTGACCAGAGAGGGCGCCACGTACGCAGCTGGGGCAGAAGGGAAATTGTGCAGGAGAAAGCAGGGGTTTTGCCTGGCGTGGGCTTGCTACCTTGCAGAAGCCTTGTGGCTTGGGATTTCTGAATTTTACAATTTATACCCTCCCCACATTGAACTCCAGCTCTGCAGACCCTTGGAGATGTGGGGCGAGGAGGGAAGAAGGAAGTAAGGCGTGGGTGGAACCACTTACCTACAGTAATGGCATCGAAGGAAGAGTGGCAATATTTAGGAACTTGGGTTTCCGGGTGCCTTCCCTGGGGTATGTGGGGGTTCCAGGCCTCAAAGTCAGTGAACAGCTTTCCTGGAAGCTGGGTAGTCACAGAGCCCCCCTGGGGCTTCCCTGCATGGGTCAGGAGAAGAGGGAAAGAATGCCCCGTGTCCCGGGGCATGTATCCAGGGCTCAAGGAAACCCCTCCTTGGTTCCTCTCATCCTTCTCTGATATGAGGGGCGGGGAAGGAGAGCGGGGGTTGGGGGTTACCAACTGTCTTCGTTTATGTTCACCATAGCACTAGATTCAGAAGCCTTCTCTCCTATCAAACAGTCTGGGAAAGAGGCGCCAGCTGAGATGAAATTGGAGTGGGGACCAGGCAAGGGTTTGGGACAGGGAAGTGCAGTGAATTCTCTCCCCTGAGTCCTGGACAAAGCAGGCAGCGTGAAGGCAGAGTTCAGCGGCCCAAGCTCTGTTGATTACAGCACTTAAAATAATCACATCACTACACTTACGACAGTGAGGCAGAGTACAATAAGCTCAGAATTTGGCACCAGCTCCTGAATCCTGGTCTGCAACTTCCAAGCTGCTTGACCTCAGACAGTTACCGAACCTTTCTCACCTCCATTCTCCCCGTCTGTGGACACAAAGACCCTCGCCTCATGGGTATGCTGTATGTGAAGGGCCTGGCCCCTGGTAGACACTCATGAAATACCCATATTTTACTGTGTATAATGGGCACTTTTTTGCCCAAATTTTTTAGGGAAAAATAAGGACGCACACTATACATGGGTAGTACTAATTTCGTATCAATATAAATGTTTTTTAGATTTATTTATTCATTTTTAGAGAAGGAGAGAAACATCAATGTGTGGTTGCCTCTCACATGCCCAATACTGGGGACCTGGCCCGCAACTCAGGCATGTGCCCTGACTGGGAAGCGAAACAGTGACCATTTGGTTCTCAGCCTGCGCTCAATCCACTGAGCTTCACCAACCAGGGCGGTATAAATGTTTTTAATTCTCTTATTCTATGCATTAAAAGTGGAACTCTAGAAAGCAATAATGATATCCGTATGCAAAATAATACCCTGGAATATGATCGTCAGTTTTGGTTTTAAATATAAATAAATGCTTGGATTTAAAAAATTAAAAGATATTTTTCCCTGAAAGGTTGGGCCCAAAACGCGCATGTGCGTTGTGCCTGGGAGCGCACTATACACGGCACCACGCGGTGCGGCGGCGGCTGTTACCGCGTTTGTGTAGGTTTCCCAGGCCACGAGGCATGTTCATACTCACGGCAGTACAACGAGCTTGTGAGAGGTTAGCAAGGCCTTAATTATCATCCATTTTCTCGGAAGGTAAAACTTTCTCAGAGGGAAATGCTTTGCCCAAAAGCAACTGCTAATCAGCAATGGCAGGCGGAGGGAAACAGCCCCAGGCGCTGGGGCCGGGCAGGTCCCTGGGCCGCAGAGCTGGCCAGTTCCTTATGGGGGAGATCTTTCTGAGTCCACCACCAGGCAGAGGCCCAAGCTTGCGGGAAGGTTGGGACGAGACAGAAAGCACAGCGTGAGCAGGAGTGAGGGTCCAGGGGCCTCGGGTGGGGGAAGAGGTAGGAGTGAGGATTGGGTCTGGGTGGTGAGACAGGGCCGTGAGAACCGCGGAGTTGGGTAGCGGGGCGGGGGTTGCAGGAATCACGAACTGGAATGCAAAGGACCGTGCAGAGGAATTCGTTGGGGTTGATGGGGTCAACAGTGGAGGCGACGCAGGAGCTCGAGGTAACTCTAAATTTCTCAGATTTCGATGGAGCCTGCAAATTTGGAAGGACCCGTGACGGGGGCGGCCAGATTGCTGAGCCGAGGATGGGGGATCCAATTGGAGGAGCGGGTACCCAAGCACTGCAAGCAAGAGTCGGGGATGGGGGCGGGGTGGGGGTTGGAGGCGGGGGCGGGACAACGGCGGGCACCGCCGGGGCTCACCGTACAGGCTCTGCACCGCCAGCACGTCGTCCCAGCTGAGCAGCGCGTCGCGGCCCAGCCTCTTGTAGTAGGGCGCCATGAGCGCGCGCGGCGCGGGCGAGTGGGCCAGGCCGAGCGTGTGGCCGATTTCGTGCGCCAGCACCACGAACAGGTTGCGCCCGCGGTGGCGGCTCAGGGACCAGTGCTCCTCTTGGTCGAAATGAGCTTCGCCCCGGCGGGGCAGAAAGGCGTGCGCTAGGGCGCCCCCTGCAGGCGGCGCGGAGAGTCAGGGGAGCCACCACCCACGACGCCCCCAGGCTCCCATCGCCCATGGGGTGTGGGGGCTGTTTTCTGCTGCATAATTTCCCTCCTCATTAAGTCTGGCAGAAGCTGAAGTGTGGAGCAGTGAACACATGACTAGGTTGTGAGGTACAGAGGTGAAGAGGCAGCGTGGTGCATACACAGCATGGGGTCAAACTGCCTGGGTTCCAGTCCTGGTTTTACCATTTACTAGCTGAGCGACCTTGGGCAAGTGTCTTAGCCCCTCTGTGCCTCATTTGCCTGATCTGAAAGTAGCAGTGATGATAATGAGGTTCTTCCTCACAGGGTTTTTCCCGAGGATTAAAAAGGGACATGTGTATCTGTGTGTGTTTCAAATATTTAGTTTCTAGCAAATAATAAATACATGAGAAGTGCTCCATAGGAATTAATTTCTCAAAGATCTAGGAGTGGGCACAGCGGTTACCCCAAAATACCGCATGATGGGACCATCTGGGGTGTCAGTAATGTTTGTTCATCTGGGCGCTGGGCATGTGTGTGTGTGTGTGAACAGTTTCTTTCATGAAACGTATACATATTCTTGCCTTCCCTGGGCCACGGCCCCTCTGTGGCTCTCTGCCTCCACATGGGGAGGGGGTTGGGCTGGTGCCCCCGATGGAGCTCATCAGTCATGCAGTTTTCAGGGCCCACCCTCGCAGCCCGCTTTGCGCAGGGGCGGGGGCAGCGGCAGGGGCAGCAAGCTGCACTGTGATGATGTTGGCCCAGAGGCCTGTTGAAGCTCCTGCCAGTGAGTGTTGCCTCCAAGGGGGCCAGGCCAACTGGGACCGACACAGGTCAGGAGGAGGCTAACATTAAAGGACAGCCCCATGGCCCTGGCCAGGTGGCTCAGTTGGTCCTGTGCACCAGCAGATTGCGGTTTTGATCCCTGGTTGGGGCACAAACCTAGGATGCCCAGGTGGGGTGTGTACAAAAGGCTACTGACCGATGTTTCTGTCTCTCTTCCTCCCTCCCTATCTCTATGAAATCAGTTTTTTAAAAAACATATCTTTGGGTGAGGAGAAAGAAAAGGTGAAGGAGAACCTGTGGGGAGTAGAGAGCCGGCCCTGTGCGGGAGGAATACTCGCCTCCCATTCTGAATGTGCTTCGAACAGTTTGGAGAGATGTTATCCTCACAGTGACCCGGACGGACAGACCGGCAGGTTTTTTATTGAATTCCAACAGGCAAGGCGCCTGCCCCACATCAGAGACCTGACTCCCAGTCCGGTGCCGTCTCAGCTACCAGCCTCCCCCTGGGGACGGGTGTAAAGATCTCAGGGAGATGCCACGGGGCGAACCGAGTTACATGCAAGCCTGTGTGTGTTCTATGTATGGATTCTCAAAAAGCCCCGATTTCTGCCAGCCCCACCCTGGTCCCGGCCTGGAAGTGGCTTTGCTCTGAGTGGGTTTGATGGAAAGCAGGAGAGCTTGGGGGGCGGGGGGGCCCAAGTTCCCAGGCCACACAAGGGCGTAAGTCCCCACCAAGAGAGGTCGGACCGGGTTTCCACACTCCTTAGCGCGGAGGAGTGGGGGGGGCATAGATAACCTACAGCCGGTTAACCTACTGAAGGCCATTGTTGGGCAGAATGGGAGGACGGCAGTTTAAATGAAAAAACCCAGGAGCCTTCAGGTTGGAGGCAAACAGGAGAACCAGGTGGGCTATGGGCATGGGAAGTGCCTCTGTGGCAGGTAGCGGATCGGATGCCTCTTGTCGAGACAGTGACAGTGGATTGGGGAAGGGCAGAGTAGGGTAGCGATGGGTTGGGATGTTTTTAAGACCTTGGTCTGGGGAACGTCCACTCCTGAAGAACAAGGGAGGCACGGGCTTGTCTGGAGGCAGGGGACGGACGGCGGGACCTCAGAAGATTCTCCAGGGTAGATAATACTCTTCTGAGTTTGCAAAGCACTTTCCCTGCAGAACCTTGTCTGACCTGACAGCCATACAGCACCATGTGACGGGGCAAGGGCCACTGTTCCCACCTGACAGACGAGGAGACTGCAGGGAGTGCGGCTTGGCCAGGGCCACAGGGAGAGCAAATGCCCCCGCCGCCCCCCATGCACTGCCTCTCCTGGTTGGGGTCCCCTCCTGCCACGCGGGGGAGAGGCTCTGTCAGCACCTGGGCCATCGAAGGCGTTGCTCAGCCCGTCGTTGTGGTCCCCTTGGAAGAAGGTGAGGCGGATGTCGGCGGGGCCGGTGGCCGGGGCTTCCCAGAACTCCAGCGCCGAGACATTGCTCCACACCTGGAAGGCGGCGCGCACAGCCCCTCGGACCGCCGGCTCCGGCAGGTGCTGCGGCCAGTTCACCAGGCGGTAGGAGAGGTGCTGCTTGTACCACTTGCTGCCTGCCGTCAAGGGGCCCCATCAGAACCCGGGGCTGATCCCGGAGCACATATGGCAGGGAGGCGGGCCCCCCTGCAGGGAGCCCCTGATCTCTTGGAGAAGATGCAGCCCTTGCCCCGGGGAGCCCCTCATCTGGCCAGAGAGACACTGCTCTCAGACAGATCGGGCTACCCTTGTCCCGGACAGTCCCCAGTCTACTGGGTTGGCCTAAGGAGGTTCCTTAGGACCTTGGCCAAGCTTCGTCAGCCTCCAGTGCATGATGGGGGAGAAGCAGCCTCTGCCTAGGAAAGTCCCCAACCTGAAGGGCACTCTGGTCCCGCCTCTCCTTCCCCACAGCCTGGGCTCAGCCTGGAAAGCCCTGTTCACCTCCCGCAGCCCCTGCCCACTGTGTCAGGGTGGAGGAGAGGTGGGGCCACCAGGGTCACAGCCCTGCCACCGCCCCCTTCCTGCTCTCCACCCTCCCACCCTCCCTCTGCCTCCCTCTCTAGTGCCTGGGCCAGTGACCACAAGACCCATTTATGCCAGGGCCCTCCCTGACCCCTCGCCCTCCCCCTCACTTCCTCAGGGACTCCCGAGCTGGGAGGTGAAAACAAGTAAGAACAAAGGGTGTGTTCGGCCCATGACCCAGAGAAATTTTTCCAGCTCCCCTTAGTTAAGTGTTTCTAGTCCTTTGACCAGAACTGCAACTGCTCCCTGAGGCCTGAGACTCAGGCCCGTTGCCTGAGCCCCAGGTCAGCTGGTCCGGGCCCAGCTCCGGTCCGCCCGCTCTCCCAGGACCAGGGTGCTTAGAAGGCCCGACTTCCAAGTTTCCCGAAGGATGTTCCTGAGCCCTGCAGGTTCAGGGACTGAGGCTGTGACCCCAAGAGGGAGACTCACAGCTTGGAGGCAGGACTTCTGGGCTCAGGATCACACAAGAGTCATGCTTTTGGGGCCTCAGTTTCCAGAATGGACCACATCCCTGGGGCATGGGTGACGAGTGGGCAGGACAGGCCTGAATGTCCTAGACCAGGCCGGTGGGCACAGCCCCCGCCCGCTTGGCGGGGCCCTGAAGGGTCGGGCCTCCCGCCCTTTGTCCCAGGGAAGCCCTTGCCTGGACCGTGGAAGAGGAGTGACGTCACGGAAGTTCAGCCACTTCCTTATTACACTTCTCCACTATTCAGGGGATATGAGACCAGGGAAGACGTGTCCCCAGGGCCACAGACTGAGCAAGAGGCCCCCACCCCCACCAGCCCTGCAACTTAATTCACTGCACTTTTCTCTATACCATGCACATCGCAGGCATAATTGCTAAGACTCACGGCTCGTACATTTGCCTGAACAAGGCTCCTGTGGGTCAGAGCGGGGGCTGTGCAAGAGCTAACCTTCTCTGGGCGGGAGAGTGGGTCTAGGGGACGGAGGAGCTGGGCACCCTTTCCCTCTTCCCGTCCCCCATGTGAGTGGGGGAGGGGAACGTTCCTTCTCTCACCCCTGAGCCAAGCTCCATTCAAGGCAATGCTGCCTCCCGAGCCGTTTGGCCTGGCAGCCGCCCAACCCCTCCCAGCCGGTGACCAGCCCTCAGGGAGCGAAGAGTGAAACATTCTAAGGGAGGAGAGGCCTGGCGTCCAGAGGCGCCGCCACGGACACTCCTAGTGCGTGTGAGTCTCCCTGGACTCTGCTGGTGCCCGACCCCTCCAGACCCTGCTGTGGGTGACCAACGCCAGACTCCCTCTCCCCACCCCCAACTTTCCAGCTTCCAGAAAACTGTGAGGCAGCTCCTGCAGCCTCTTTGCAGTGAGGAGTGCCCCTCACCCCTAGGGCGGGGACAGGGAGGGAGGGCAATCCTCTAGTCCCAGGTGGCCTGTGAAGGTGACAGCCCACAGGATAAAAATCCTCTGTGAATCTGTGTGTGGGTTGAGGCCCCTGCAGGGTGCGGGGCAGGGGCGGGGATAAGGAGGACAACTAGGAACAGGAATTGAGAGAAAATGACAGATTTTCCTTGGGACAGGAGCAGGGCGGTAGGTTGTTGTTTTGCCTGCCAGGAAGGAACCGCAGGGCCAGTAGCCTGAGCCCCGTCCCCTGTCTTCTTCCAGATTTGGGTCCCTGGAGCAGGCTGGCCACAGCAGGCCCTATTCCAGTCTCCTGGCTGAGCAGGGCTGGTTTCCACGGCGACCCTCAGGCCACTGCAGCACCAGCACCCCACCCCCTCAATCTAAAACCCAAAAGGGAAGAGGAAAGAAAAAAGGCAGGAGAGCTAGATTCCTTGCATGGGGAGGACCTGGGCTGGGGCCCTGGCTCCCAGCAGGCGACTGCTACCCTGGGAAAGAGCAGGGTGCGAATCTCAGGGCCTGTACTTACAACCTGACCTAACAAATGATGGAACCCCTCCAAGCCTTACTGTCTCTATTTGCAAAGTGGGGCTGATGAGACTTATCTCATGGTAGAAATGAAACAGCCACCGCAGCTGCCTGCACGGGCCGCTCAGTAAGTAGCCATTCCCTTTTTTCTTTTCCAGCCCTGAACGCCCCACCCCAGCTCTGTGACGGGTGGGGGGATTGAAAATCAGCCCTGCAGGCGCAGGCAGAGAGCAGCCAGCCTTTGGAATGGGGTTGCCAGATTGAGCAAATAAGACTACAGAATGTCTGGTTCAATTTGAATTTCAGACCAACGACAAGTAATTTTTTTAAGTATAAGTTCGCAAAAACAAACCAATTACTTGGCGTTGACCTGAAGTTGACTTCACCTGGGGGTTCTGCGTTTTGTCTGGCAGCCCTGGCCTGGCGGAGGCTGGCTTCGTCCGCACAGCACTCGCCGCATAATGGAAAGTCTTGGACGTAGAGATGCCTGTCATTTTGTAAGCACCTGCCCGTATTCTGGGGGTTTCCACAGCTGGACCCCCACTTAATCCTCCCAACACAAGGAGGCCCTTCGGCCCTGGGAAGGCTACCCGTCCGTCTGCCCGTCTGTAGTGAGGATAAACCTGGCAGCTCTCTCACAGCGCTGCCCCCTACGGGAGCAGACGAGTTAACCCACTTACAACTGTGCCTGGCACGTGGTAGATGCTCAGTAAGTGTTCGCGTTATTATTCCATTTTCTCTCCTCAGGCACGGGAAGTGCTCGGCGCCTGCCAAACGCACAACTTCCTTCTAGGAAATATTTTCCCACCCAGGAGGGAGAGAAGGGAGGCTGCCGTGGGTCACATTGTGACCAGCAAGGAAATTCTCTCTCTGACCTGGCCACCAGCCACCGCTGTCTGGACCAGCGGTCAGTATCAGACGGGCACATGGGGCCAAGCTGGTGGGGTGAAGCCCAAACCTCCATCTAAAAGGGATGCTTCAAAGCGGACAGTGATGGAGAAACCATCACACTCTTCCTTGGGGCAGGAGAAGATGAGATGTTACCAGGAGGAGGCATCCTGGGTGCTCAGGTGGTGCCGTAAATGCCCGGGAGGCATGGTCCCAATTCTCCGTGAACTCTAGCCTGGAGGTGTCGGAGGTGCTGAGATGCGTCTGGGACCACCCAGTTTTCCCGTGCATCCTCACAAGCCCCCCCGCCCCACTGGTTACCAGGGCTCAGCTCTCCTGCGCAGTGTGAGCCGGCCTGTGTCTCAGATGAGGAAACAGAGCAGAGACCAGCACGCGGCTGAACCCGGAGCCCCGGCTCCAGGGATGTGGCTGTCCCTGCTCTGCAGGTGCCTCCGGGGCTCCTGCTGGGCTTCCTGCTCGGCTGCCCAGAGCACAGCGGTCAATCCTGGTGACCCAGAGTGGCTGGGAGCACAGGCACAGTCCCACTGGATTCGCAAACACCTGCAAGGGGCCCTTCTCCCCCAGCTGGGGGGAAATGCCCACACCTTTCTTTCGGGTTAGCTAAGAAACAAAAGCAACGTGCCTTCTGTCCTGGATATCGTCCGTAGAGGCAGTTAACGCAAATTCAAGGAGGCAGCAGTCCAAAAAGGCTGGTGGTAACATGAATTATAGATGAAAAGCTGACTAAAGAGCCCCATTTTGTTGGAGATCTTGGAAATTGCAAAAATTGACTAGAGAAAATCAGAATTAGTAAACACAATCAAGGTGTTAAAATCATGCTCTGCAAAATTTGTTGATGAAGAACTGACAAGAATAAAAGCTTTATAAATCTTAGATCAGTAACATTTGACGTTGGAAGATTGAATGTGGCCAAAAAAAGAGGAAGAGGAAGAGAAGGGAAGAAACAAAATGAAATCATCAGAGCAGGAAGCTCAGTGTGTAAAATGTGTTGTGATGAAATATTCAGAACAGACATATCTGTCGAGACAAACAGTAGATTAACAGTTACTAGGAGCTGGGGGGAGGGGAGGTCGGGGAGTGACCGCTAATTGGCCTGGGGTTTCTGTTTGCGGTGATGAAAATGTTCTGGAATTGGATTGTGGGGAATGGTTGCACAATTCTGCAAACACACTACAAGCCCTGGATTGTGCGCTTTCAGTGGGTAAATGGTATGGTATGCGAATTGCATTTCAATAAAGCTATAAAAAAGGTGCAATGGACAAAATAGAACTGTTCGAGGAATCACATCTTTGTTGCATAAGTCTTAGGAAAAAGCACCGATTCTGATGCAAATAACTCCGGTAAAATATAAAGGGAAATGTTGACCAGGAGTTGAGTGGACTCGATGGGGCTCGCTCTGGAAAACACGTGTGCAGTTAAACCTCATCAGCACAGGTGTGTCATTCTGGTTTAAATGTCTGTGTTCACAGATGCCCTCTCGAGTCCGAGAGGCGCTCTTTGCCCTCCTCCCCGGCCCCAGGGAGGCGGTTACCGACCACGCCCAGTCCGAGGCAGAGGCACTGTTCCGGCCAAGGGGCTTTGGGATGGTGGGGAGTCCATCCTCGCTGCGTTTTCACGGTGCTCACCTTGCTTTGCAAAGCGTTTCCTACGCATTTTGGCCCGGCGTCCAGCGAACAGGGCACTGACCCTGTCGGCCCAGGCTGCCTGACCGTCGGTATCCGCAACCCCGCAGCGAGGCTGTGCCATCTGGCGCAGGGTGGCGGGGTCCAGCACACCGCTGACCGGCAGCTGGGACACCCACTGGAACTCCCTGTCGGGAGGAATTGAGTGAAGGACCACAAAGGGAGGGGGTGGAGGGGGTCAGGGCACAGAGCTCCCCAGGAGACAGGAGGGGGCTGGGATTGGGCAGGGTGAGTGGTGGGTGGGAGGAAGCAATGGAGAAGGGCCCCTGGGCCCACCTGGGGGGGCTGCCTTCCCCGGGGGAGGGAGGAGGCGCCCCAAGCTTACACCCCGCGTCCCCAGTGCTCCATACCCCATCATCCTACCTGATGGCACTGCTGAGTCGCAAGGAGGGAGACTTGGAGGCCTGCTCACTGAGGTAGCCGTACCTCTCCAGGAATGCCTGGGGGAGAGGGGAACGTCAGCCTTTCCCGCCCTTGGTTTCCGAGTGTTGTGCTGCCTCTGTCATGCCTGGGCTCACCCCTTGTCCCAACAGGGTCTGAGAGCCAAGGCGGATGGACCTGGACTCAGCCCCAGGCTGCCAATGACTAACAAGCTGGATGGTCTTGGGCAAGTCACTCAAATATGTCTGAAACTTATCTTCCTCGTTTTTTATAACTGGCCGAGCAGCCCTGACCGCTGGTTGGGTTTTGTCCTGCAAAGCCAAAGGGCGCAGGTTCGATTCTGGTCAGGGCACGTGCCTGGGTTGCAGGGTTTACTCTTGCCATTTCAGCGCCACAGGAGGGGCCACTGATCGAGGTTTTTCCTCTCACATCCATGTTTCTCTTCTCTTTCTTCCTCCCTTCCCCACTCTCTAAAAATAGATAAATAAAAATTTAAATTTTGTTTATCTATTTTTAGAGAGAGGGGAAGGGAGGGAGAAAGAGAGTGAGAAACATCAATGTTTGGTTGCCTCTCATGTGGCCCCCACTAGGGACCTGGCCTGCAACCCAGGCATGTGCCCTGACTGGGAATCAAACTGGCGACCCTTTGGTTCGCAGCCCCTGCTCAATCCACTGAGATACACCAGCCAGGGCCTAAATAAATAAAATCTTTTTAAAATGCGAAGTAACTAGCCACGCAACGAGGTGAGAAAGGGGGTTCCGGGCTGAGGGAGCGACAAAAGTCAACGCTGAGCCGAGAAGGCCCCTGCCTGATTCAGGAATGGAAAGGAGGCTGGGGCGCAGGGGGCGTGCGCAGCGGGCACGTGATGATGTCAGAGAGAGGGGTGCGCTGCCGCCGGCGTCAGAAATGTGAGTTTTATGTTCGTCTTCCTGACGGATGGATTGTGGGGAGCAGAAGAAAGGGAGGAACCCTGGATGGCTCCTAAACGTCAGCCGGGAAGATGGGGCCACTGACGGTAGGCGGAGGCCTGGGGGAGGGGCAGGTTGGGGCGGTGTGGGTAGGACCAAAGCAGCGGAAGGCACGTGGCGCTTGGCCGTGTGGTCCCGGAGCTCAGGGGACAGACAAGCTGGAACCTCTCAGCTTTCAGGGGTGGCCGGCCTTCTGGCGTCTCTGGGCCACACTGGGGGAAGAAGAGTTGTGTTGGGCCACACATTCAATACATTGTGACACCTAATCACACACACACAAATCTCATAATGTTTTAAGTAAATTTACGACTTTGTGTCGGCCGCATTCACAGCCACCCTGGGCTGCACGCGGCCCCGAGGCCGCAGGTCGTTAGCCCCTGACTGTGGATCCAGCTGTGATCCTCCCGGAAAATTAGTATAACAAGAACATCCCCCCCCCCAGTGCATTTACTCACTGCCCGCCCTCCTATACCTGGAAGCTGCTTTCTCAGTGACCACGTTCTTGAAAGCCAGTGGAGAGACCTCGCTGTCCCTACCTGTCACCAGACCTACCCTGAGGGGGAACCGATGTACGTGAGTCCCTCTTGCCCTTCCCACTGATAAAGCTCTGTGGATGGGTTCTTTAAGGGTGCCTGGGCTGCTTAATTCTCGCACAGACACTCGTTGCCTCCCGTCTTACCCCTCCTTGCCGTGTTACCCATACAGAAACGATCTGTTCTCTCACTCACTTTTCTTTGCTGTACGTTTTAGCTCCAATCACCCACAACCACAGCCGCTGCCTCAAGGAAGGGCACAAACTTGGAGAGAAACTAGGTGCTGGGCCGGGATCACCAGCCCCTCAGCCTCTGCAAGTATCCAGCCTTCTCCTGGATTTCCATCCACCGTCAGCGACCTCCCTGGCTTCTCCCCAACATAGCCACTTTCCATACGGGGCCCTTATTCTAGACAACAGAACACTTCCCAAGTCTGCTTTATTGTTTTTCTGTGCTAACTTACTAGAATTTCAGCGCCATTGTTTTTTTCCCTGCTCTGCTTGTGTGCACTGTTGGGGTGCATAATGAATTAAAGGGGTTCTAGTGACTTAATCTGGAAGACTGTTTGTTGCTTAAAATAGTGTGGCCTCATGGAATAGCCACTGGGCTTGGAAGCCAAAATCTATTCCTAACCTTGACCCTGCTGGGTGGCCATGGACAAATGACTTCAGCTTTCTGAGTCTCCGTTTCCTCACCTGCAATGTGGGAACAAGGGTAACCCCCAGAGGATGCTCAGAAGGATTAAATAACGCAATGCATACCCAGTGTAGTGCCTGGTATGCAGTAAATGCTCAATAAACAGTTAAACTAGCTGATTTAACTTACAGGGAAAATCCACAACAGACTTTTGGAATGCAACTCATCTGTAAGATGGGAACAGCTTAGAATAAGGTTCTCAATTCAGGTGCTCTATCCCAGGATCGTCTCACCCCAGGCAGGTGCCTGGCCCGCTCTTCCTTTCCCCTGGTGAGGATGGAGAGAGTGGCTTTTTAAGGGAAGCCAGGGAATCAAAGTCTCCATAGAAGCAGTTTTGCTGAGTGAACGATTTGGAGGAGACTGGGTCACAGGCCAACAGGCTGGCACTCCCTGCGACCCTCCCCACAAGCCCACCCAGCCCTTATCAGGGAGTTGGCTGCTATTCTGGAACTGAGAAGCCTGGGACGGAGCGGGGGGAGGGAGGGGAAATGGACTGGCGGCGTCTCCTGTTTCCTGGCTGGGTCTGTGCCTGGTACTTGGGCAGGCAAGGCGGGGTGGGGGCGCGACAGGGGTGGAGGTCGTTTTCAGGGGTCCATCAGAGGGCAAGTCTTGCTCCCGACTCGTCTCTGGGACCCTGTGGGTTGCAAGGCATAGCCGAACTCCCAGGAAGCAGGGAGCTGGTGTCCACGACACCAGCCAAGAGACACAGAAAGAATGAGAAAAGAAATGTTAAGAATTTGACATTTTGTATTTCTGTAAAAGCACTGAAGTGTTATTATGGAGACTAGCAGGACTTAAGAACACCCTTTTACTTATTTTGTGTGTAATATGCCTATAATTGGAAAGACTTTAATTACGAGGGTTCCCTTAATGCTGTGAGCACCGAGTGCTCTAAAGGCCTGCCGAGGTGCGTGGACCTACGTCCCCAGTGAGGCGGAGGTGGGGTGGGGACGCCCCTGCTCCCTAACCCTCTTCTGTGAGTCCATTCGCTGTGTTTCAGTTGACCCCTGCAGAGGTGACAGAAATGCCACTGTGCGTGTCAGGCAGGGGACAAGTGTGGTCAAGGGGTCCCAGGAAAGGAGGCTGGAGCTCTCGTTCTCGTCCCAGCTGGACACTAACCGCCTTGGAGGAGGTGTTTCCCTCCCCGGCTGCAGTTTTCCTGGGGCCCCGTGTCCTCCCAGGGCCCGTCTGAGCTCCACCCCGGTCCCCCGTCCCCCTTTGTGGATGTAGTGCCCGGGCTGCTCCTCTCTGCTCTGCAGTTCAAACACCAGGCTTTCTCTCTTTCCTGTTCTCCACCCCTCCTCTCCGGGGGAGCCCAAGGCTGTTCCCCTTTGGTGATTCACCCTGCCTGGGCTCAGAGGCTGGTGCCAACCTGCCTCACCCACCTGCTCATGGCTGGGGCCACTTTCTTGGGAAGTCGCCTCTGAAAAGCCCGGGGAGTGGCTGGGGTGTTTGGGTAAAACCAAAGTGGTTCTTCCTGGGACCCAGAAAGCTGGGTGGAATCAGGGTGCTGGGGGTTCTCGTCCTGCATCCGTCCCAACTTGTCGGGGGAGGGCGTGTAGGGCCCAGCCCATCTGATGCCCCAGGGAAGGGGAAATTCTAGCCGTTTCCAAGCAGGGCAAGACTAGCAATAAGGTGTAGCAAAACGGATCCAGGCCTGAGCCAGGGACTCGGTCTGAGTCAGGGACTGGGTCTGAGTCAGGGACTCTGAGTCACTGGCCTGGCGAGACGAGAACCCTGCCTACACTGATCATCTTGAGTCGTATTCCAGGGGCTGCTGCTAGCTGTGTGTCCCTAGGCAAGCCCTGTGCCTCTCTGGTCCTTAGTTTCCTCTTCCGTAAAATGCGGGGGTTGGATTAGAGGTAAGATATACTCCACTTCTGTCTATTCTTGTAGCCTTGCTTCTGCCACTGATTACCTGTGTGAACAATGAAAAGGTTACTCGGCCTCTCTCTGTGCCCCCAAGGTATAAAATGGGCAGAAGGACGCAGCTTATGTTTCTTATAGGAGCATCATGAAAATCCAGTAAGATGATGCTTTGGGGAAGCTTGATGATAATTGTCCCATTATAAACATCATTTTCCCCTCTACAGTCACAAAGCCTTATTGCTGGAAGTCTGGGAGGGGCCAGCTCCCAGTTTCAGGTGCAGGTGAGGCTGTGACACCCTCGGTATCAAAGAACTGCGGCAGCAAAAATGAAACCAGGAATTGAACAGTTGCAAAATGGCAAGCTGGACCAGAAACCGTGTCACTTTCCCTATGATTTATTCCATCTCATGCTGTGCTTCATCAGAATTTTCGTCTTTTCAGAGGGACTGTCCGAGAGTGTGCTCACCATTCATACATCTTTTGCATTATGAGCTGAGACAAGATGCAAGGGGTGGCAGTCAGCTTTCTGCCTTGCGTGTCCCATCAGTAAAAACGTCTTCTGACAGTCAGGGACACAGTGAGCTCTTCCCTATTGGAGAGCTTTTATGGGGCTAACAGCTTCCTTGAGCTTCTCAACCACCTTGCAAGAATATAGAAGGGAGAGGTGTTGTCATTCCCATTTTATTTAATTTTATTTTTTAAATTTTTTAACTTTATTTTATTTAGATTTTATTTATTTATCTTTAGAAGGGAAGGGAAGGAGAGAGGGAGAGAAATATCAATGTATGGTTGCTTCTTGTGCATCCCCTGCTGGGAACTGGCCCATTCCCGTTTTAGAAAGGAAAGTAAGTCTCAGGGGAGGGCAGGATTGTAGTGAGTGACAGACCCAGTGTGTGAGTCTGACTCTTGGGACATGGGACTTTAAACAAGTGACTCAGGGGCTTTAAAACAAGTGACTCAGGGGCTTTAAAACAAGTGACTCAGGGGCTTTAAAACAGAAAGAGCAGGGGCCGAGTGGTTCTCCTCACTGGGGACACAGCCCTGCAGGAAAGAAGAGGCAGAACTGGGGCTTCTTCCAGCTGGTTTTGTTCTAACCTCTCTGCAAGCAGGTCCAGGGGCAGGTCAGGGGAAGAAGCTGCTAAGGCTGTGGGCTTGGCTTTCAACAGAGGCTGGGATCACATCCCCCATCACAGCCCAAACCAGCCATCTGAGAAGCCACAGGTACTCGACAGACCGAAGCACACTCCTTCCTTCACAAAGCAAACCTCTGATTCCAGGGCGTTTAGCTTTTGCTGTCTGGCCCCCGGGGTCCGCCGAAGGCCTCGGGGCAGTGGGACCAACTTGGCCACTTTCTGTTATTTTGGGCGAAGGTTTGCCTTCCCTCTGATTCCCTTTCTCTACTCTTCCTTTCCTTCGTCCCTAGTCTCATAGGCACAGAGGTCTGTCGGGGTGTTACCTAGATACCTCTTACCGTAGCCCCTGCTCCTTTATTTTCTTAAGGATGTTGGAAAACATCAGCTGGCCAGGCTCCTTCCATTCCCTATCTTGCACATTTTCTTTCTTTCTTTTTAAAGATTTCGTTTATTTATTTTTAGACCGAAGGGAAGGGAGGGAGAAAGAGAGGAAGAGAAGCATCGATGTGTGGTTGCCTCTCATGCGCCCCCTACTGGGGACCTGGCCCACAACCCAGGCATGTGCCCTGACTGGGAATCAAACTGGTGACCCTTTGGTTCACAGACCCATGCTCAATCCACTGAGCCACACCAGCCAGGACTCTTGTATTTTTTCTAATGTCAAATAACCATGCGGTAGGGACCTTTGGTTTTCACTAGGCTTGTGGGACTAAATGTAAGGCACAAAATGATGCTCTAACCAAGGTTGGGTTGAGGAAGAATTGTCCACCTGTCTGTCTCTTCCTTGCTCCTGCTCTCACTGTGCCCTTTTCGCTAGATTTCTTGGTTTTCAGGCTGGCTTGGCAACTGCTTTCTTACCAACTCGTGGTCTTTTAGGACCTTTCAGAGCCTCTCCCGCAGTTCTATTCACCCCGTACCCATGAGTCACTGAGCTGATTTCTCTCGAATGGCTTCCACACCCGGCCTTCTGAGTTTCTGACTCACAAAAAGTCTAGCGAATGGCTCTGGGGATGAGAAACAGACACTGCATCTGGGGGCTGGAGGGCGGGTACCTCACAGAAGCTCCATTGTCTCCCTGGAGAAACAAGCCCCCCAGCCCCTGTAGCACGGCACACCGGGAGGGGCTGTGCGGGGACACGTGGACCGCTGAGCGGAAGGCGGGCCCTGGAAATATTTGCCCGTGGCTCTAAGGAAGGTCTGAGCTAAACACAGTCGATGGACCCCTTGGGATCATCTGTGTCGCCGGAGAACAGGGGAGGGCCCAGCTGGGAATGGGCGCGGGGCCGGCTGATGTCATCATTAACTCTCAACGTTGCATCTCATAAGCGGAGGGCCTTCCTCCTCTCTCGAGTCGTGAGCAGCCCTGGTTTTCCCAAGTGGGCGACAATGAACTTGTTCACAATGCAGCTTTGTAAGCAGTCAGTCTCCTCCCAGGCGAAGCCCACTCCAGAAAGCCCTCAACTTCATTGCTTTGTGTGCCCAGAGGGGACACATATGGCCATGGGCTCCGGGCACAGGGATGCACACAGAGACATCGGGACCCAGACAGGCCCAGCCGGACAGACACGGACACACAGGCAGATGAGATGTAAACACACACGCACGCACAGGCGTACGAGCACGCCAAAGCCAAAGAATGTCAGCACTAGAGAGAATCTTAAAAGTTCTCAGGAAAATTAACTCCTTCGTTTTATAGTGGAGTCAACTGCAGCCTGGAGAAGTGAAGGAAATGACGAGCCCGCACTGCTTGTTTGTGTTCTTTCTTTCCTTTTATGTCCTGAAACCTGACCTTTGTCCGTGAGCTCAGTGGGACTGCTCTGTCCCCCTGGGGTCTGGCCCCCTGCACGGCGGTCAGGGCCTTGTATCTACCCAGGAGCCAGCGTGATCTTGGGGCTTACTCTGTGTGGTTGGATTTCCCTGAATAGCCCCACCAGTTCCCATTTCCAGGCTCCTCTTACGGTGTGACCTCGACGTCCCTCCCACCAATTGCGAGATCCATGTCCCTCCCCTTTGTGACTGCTCCAGCAGAAGCGATGTTATCCAACTCCTTAGTGTTCTAGGTCCTAAGGAGGGAGCCAGTTCTTCTGCCTCTCGCCCCCACCCGCCCCTTTCTCTTGCTCCGAACACTCAGCTTGGAGACCCAGCCACCTGTTTTCAGGCAGTCCAAACTAGCCGCATGGGGAGACCCTGTGGATAGGCCCCCAGCTGACAGCCAGCACCAGCCTCCAGGTGGGTGAGTAAACAGCCTTCAGATGGTTCCACCTCCAGGTGCTGCAGAGCCGAGACAGGCTGCCCCAAACAAAGCGCACTGTTTGGATTTCTGATCTGCGGTGTCTCTGAACATAATAAACGGTTGTTTACTTTACTAGGTTTCAGAGAAATGTGCAATGTAGCCATAGTAACTACAACAGCATCTCAGGAGCCACAGCCATGTGCTGTCTGGTGTCCAATGCTGAAAATAGCTGCCTTACTACTCTCCAAAACAGCGGTAAAGACACAAACAACAGCGATAAAGACACGAGCAACGGCACAGAGAGCAGCTTCCGTTTATAGACAGCTTTTTACGTCCTGGGGGTGATGCTGCCAGCCAGCATCATGCCGACAAAGCCACACTGTGATCTTCTGAAATAGGCATTTTTGGCACCCATTGTACAGAGAAGAAAACAGCTTCCTAGAGGTTAAACCTATGCACACAGGTCTGTCCGACATTGAAGACTACAATTGGCCACATGCAGAAACACCTGTAGACATACTGGCACCCCCCCCCAATTTACATATATACATATGTATGTACATGCAAGGACACATGGAGAAATCCAACCACACGGAGTAAGCCCCTATACACCCATTCCACATTTCCAGAGACTTTAATGTTTTTAAAATATTCCTTGTTGTCAGAGTTAAAAATCCCCTCCCTGCCCAAATTATGTTAAAAAGACTGAAAGAAACTCAATCTGCTAGATACTGCATTTCCCAAGCACAGCCCCCGACATGACATCCTCTCCCTTTGGGGCTTTGAAGGGCATGGGCAACACAGATGCTGTCTCCATCCTCCTGCCCCGGGTCTCCTGGGACCTGGGCCTGGGGGGAGATGGGGTGGGACTCTTGGCTTGGCTTGGCTGGGTGGACAGAAGCTTCCTCCTGGGACCACGAAGCTTCTGCACTTGATGTTGTAAGATTCTAAATGCAGAGAAACAAAGTGATTCCAAACTGTCCTTAAGCAGAGCCAGACACCAGTGCTTGGAAGGGGACTTTGAGAAAGGACCTGCTTGTTGAAGCGGGGACATGCCGTGCAGGCGAGATGGGAGGAAGAGTGACTCAGCGAAGGCCCGCCTCGGTTTCCCCGAGTCGCCCTGCCTGTCTTCTAGGGAAGGGGGGTGGGAGGGCACTGAGAAGCTCTTCACTGGCAGTTTTAGAGCAAGAATTATCTTTTTTTTTTTTAAAAGGAATTGTGTTCTTAGGTGAGCGAGAGTCTCAGGGAAGAGTGCTGGACCCAGTAATTTAGAACTTAACACCCTCTTTTCACCTTCAAATAGTGGAGACCCCAGTCCTATTCCTGAGAAGAGCCAAGAACACGGATAGAAATGCTTCTTTGGAGAAGAAAGAAATGATACTGGTGTGTTATTACAATCACCTGAATCTAGGGAGTTGATGTCCCAAGTCCATGCCCACTCCTACCCGGCAAAAGTTCTCCCTTATGTGTCCTACAGCAAGCCGTTGAGTTCAAAGGAGGAAGATGAGTGGGAAATCTTTAAGGTTCGTCGCCGCCTTCCTGCCCCCGCTTAAGAAGCGCAGCGCAGAGCACTGTTTCAGGCTCCACAGAAGCAGCTCTCCGGAGTGTACACCATTTTACAATCGAAGAAACGAGCTCCGGGCTTGGGCGCTGACTTGCCCCAGCTGGTTAGGGGCAGCACCAGCCCGGAAAAGCCAGTTCTGTCACCGGCGTCCCAGCCCGGTCAGCGGTCCCCTCGGCACCGCACCAGCCTAGGGGCCTCCGCACCAGCAGAGTATTGGCTGCAGGCATCCGATGGATGGGCCGCCAAGCCTCCGCGGTTTGGGCGGTGAGGGGCAGTGGCTCTGTGCCAAACTGGGGTGCAGGGGCTCCCCCTTTCCGAGCTCTCATCTGTCTGTCCCATCTTGTCTCTCCCTCCTTCTCCCGTCTGGGGAAATCCACGCAGACTCGCGTGCTTGTGCGGGTCCAGCCCGGACTCGGGGGAGAAAAGGCTGCTGCTGCAGGTTCTTTGTGTGCAAGTGCGAAGGGTGCGGAGGGCAGGGGGAGGGGTAACGCCGACCGTCAGCTCGGAGGGGACAGCTGCGGGCCTGGATGCAAAGTTCTGGCGGGTCTCGCTCCGGCAGACCCACTCCGCCCCGCACGCACCCCTTACCTCCGCCTCCCTGCGCAGCTCCTGGCTTGTGCGCTCCGCGAGCTGGGCGTCCAGGCCGCCCCACAGCAGCAGCAGCAGGGCGCGCAGCAGGAGGCCCACCCGCGCGGCCATCTCGCCACCGCCCCTGCGGCGGAGCGCGGGGCAGCCCCTCAGCGGTCAGCAGCGCCCGGGGCTCCGCGGATGCTCCGGCTCTGCGCCGCCGCACGCGGAGGGGGAAGGTCTCAGGGGTTCGCCAGTAGCCGGGCTCCGCGCGCTGGGCGGCTCCTCTGGGAGGCTTCGCCGGGAGCCAGTCGGAGATTGTCCAGCTCGGGCAGTGTCTGCTGAGTGGGTCGCCCGCCCCGGGACCTAGAAGGCAAGGGACGGAGGGAGGAGGGGGGCGGGAGCCCTGCCTGCGGCCCCACCCACCCCACTCCGCGGTTGGAACGCGCCGGTCCTGGAGCCTCTTCCGCTGGCCTCGCCCGGTGGCCGCGCCCGGTGGCCGCTGCCGCCCGGCGGACTCGTTCTCTCGCTCGCCACCTGGAGTTGATTCAGATCTTTCTGGGGGCAGCGGCGTGGGGTGGAGGAAAGGCTCTTCTGGCGGTTATAGCTACCTACGACCTCTATAAGAGGGGCCCTGGCCTACCTGAGGGTCAGTGATTGTTTCAGCCAGGCTTCAGGCGACGAGAACCTGGAGTGCGACAACCGATTTTGAGTTCCTATCTGCCTTTTTTGCAAGCTGGGTGAATCCTGCCTCCACCCCCTGCTGTGTGGTCTTGGGCAAGTCAACCACCCTCTCTGAACTGATTTTTCTCATCGCTAACTGGGGATAATAATAATAATACCAGTATCATGTCATGTAGGGAGCATTTAACGAGAGAATAAATAATGCCTGTAAGTCACTCAGCTCCGTGCCTGGCATCGTGAAGAACGCGTTTAATAATTGGCAGCCGGCAAGCATCGTGACCTTCCGCAAAGGGTTTAGCTTCCTTATAAACAAAACGAGAGCAAGTGATATTTAGTTCCTGGAGTCGCATGAAGGTTAAAAGAGAAAATGAATATCAAGTGCCTGGCTTTATGGATCCCACACAATTGTAGTAAAGGTGGAGTGAAACGCTTCAAGTGAAAGCCTTAGTTACCTAAACTCACACTGAGCAAAAAGTAACCTGATTTCATCACCTGCCTTAGTGACTGAAAGCAGGTGACTGTCTCTCTTGTTAGTTTGCTAATCTGCAAAATGCAAGTGGCACAGTGCCGCCTACCTCTGGAAATGGCGTGGATTAGATGAGTTGATGTCAGTCATTTGTGATCTACAAAGTGCTAAACAAATATAATGAAGTGTTCTTATTCTACGGCTTAGGGCCTCGGAGGGTTTGTTAATACACAGAGCTCTTTTGTTATTTAGAAAAGGGTGCCACTCTGGTGAAGAAATGTTTTAAAATTTTTGTTTATTCATTGATTTTAGAGAGGGGGGAGGGAGAGAGAGAGAGAGAGAGAGAGGGAGAGAGAAACACGGATTGGTTGGCTCTCATATGCACCCTGACCAATCCGAGATCCAGGCAGGTACCCTGGCTGGGAATCTAACCAGAGACCTTCAGCTTTGCAGGACGCTGCCAACCAACTGGGCCACACTGGTCAGGGCTGGTGGAGGAGTATTTGAAAGGCGCCTCTTCGATTAGACAGCCATCTCAGCAACAGGAGTTCCTGTGGCGGAGTAATTGGAATAGGCCCCACCCACCTCCCAGTCAACCAATGAAAATGGGGCACTCGTCTGGAAGAACCAATTAGACGTTCCTTTGGCCCACCAATGAGGAGAAGGCGTCTTTCGACTGCGTAAGGTGGTTCCGCGACGCCCAGGGGTACAGAGTTGAGGTTGGGTTTTTGTGTCCAGCGTCCTGTCCTATGCAGGGGTGCCCTCGTGAACGTCTTTACAGAGAGCGCTTGCCTGGAACGGAGCCCCAGAGACTGTGGACAAGGCCTAGGCCTTACTTTCAGAGTGCTTTCAGTCTAGCGGGCTAGATCTGAAGGAAGATTCTAAGCTAAGGCCAGAGCAGACCGTGACAGCTACAGACTCGAGGGGAGTCCTGTGGTCAGCTTGGAGGAGCGAGAGTCTGAAGGCGAGTCCAGTAAGGTTGCTAGATTTAGCACATAAAAATACAGGATGTCCAGTTAAACTTGAGTATCAGATTAAAAAATCTGATACCTTTAGTATCAGAATAAATATTCGGGACATACTTAAATAAAAAAAATTCATTATTAATCTGAAATTCAAGTTTAACTTGGTGTTCTTTATTTTATCTGGCAGTCTGTCGGGGGGATGTCAGAAGGTGGCAAGGAGGCATGATATATGGTGCTTTTGACCAATAGGTGGATTTAAAATTTTTATTTATTTACGAGATAGAGGGAAAGGGACGGAGAAAGGAAGCGAAACATCAGTTGCCTGTCGTATGTGCCCCAACTTGGGAGAAGATACTAAACCAGCAACCTAGGCATATGCCCTGACTAGGAATTGAACTAGCGACCTTTCACTTTGCGAGACGTCGCCCAACTGAGCCATACGGGTCAGGACCAACGAGCGGATTGTGATAGGCCAGATACAACTCTGCTCTGGAGCAGAGAGTTCCGAGGGCTAGCAGTTGGCACACACACTGTAGGCCAAGCTGGAGTCGAACCTAGATTTGCCCATTTTTTCTTCAGGAAGGATTTCAACATCCCTTCCTCCGGCACATCGCAGGGATTCTCTATTTCCGCTGCACCGGTAGGAGAGTGGAAGGCAGAGGTTCTCTGGAGGGCTGAGTGGCTGGGGGGAGATAGGCTCGGCCACTCAGAGAGCTGCCCCTGCCTTCCTCTACGTCCCAGGCGAGCCCTGGTCCCTGGACCTCGAAGAAACTAGCCCACTACTGTGTTTGAAAGCTGACTTCACCTGTCTCCCTTGTGTGTCCTTGGCTGGATTACTTCACTCCATCCTTTCCTCTTCCCATTCCACCTCTGCTTATGGTCCCTTGGCAATGCCATCGAGACTTGGAAGTGCCTGCAAGACTTTGTGCAGAATGTTTCCTTTGCCCACACACTCGCCATGGGCTTCAATCAGGCCTTTGCACAAGATGTCTTTCCCAGGAAGACAGCATGTTTCCATGGTTAGGACCTGGGTAGCAGAAGGTTCTGTTCCCTTCTGCCTCTGAAGTTTACTCATAATCCCAGAGCAACCCATTCTGTGATCTTCCAGAATCCATGGGTCTACACAGGTCCACTGACTTGCTGTTTGGTTTTATCACCCAGGACACATGCTGAGCCAAGAAACTTTCAATGGGGTGGAGAAGGAAGGCAGCCTGCCATGTAAGAGAGGGATCCGGAGTGTGATGGAAGGAAAAAGGCTTTGGAGCAGGGATTCTCAAGACATAGCCCAAAGATTGCCCACATCTGGAACAGTCCTATGGTGACGGGTCCATCCTGTCCCATGGTTTCTTCCTCTGGTGGGAGAGGAGGTGGGGAGGGAGTGAGGAGTTGGAACAGAATAACAACGGTAAATACTTGCTGAGAAATGAACATGGGCCATGTATGTGTTGTGTTCTTGACCTAAATCACATCACTGAATCTTTGCGGCTACTGTTATAAGCATTCTTATCTGAAAGATGAGGAGACTGAAGGCCGGAGAGATATCACTTGTCCAAAGTCACAACTCTAGTAATGGAGTCAGGGTTCAAACCTGGAGTATAAGTCCAGATCTTACACTCTACTATCTTGCCTCAAGTCAAATTTATAAAGTGTGACTCTTGGATCACCTGCATTGAATCACCTGGAGGCACATATTAAAAATTCAGCTTCCAGAGCCCTACTCCGGACCCACTTAATTACTAAATACCAGATACCAACGCTCAGGAGGAAGATAGTACTGGGGTTCTCCAGGGTCCGGCTCTCTCCTTCCTTCTCTCTCTATGTTGGCAGTGCAGGTCCCTGACCCAGCTAGGCTGGCGGCCGTCTCCATCCCTCCTCTTCAGAGAGAGCCGCGTGCCTTCCCTCCCTCTCCCTGCTGGGCTTGGTTCAGACCCACAGAGCCTCTCAGCCTTGCCGGAGTGGACAGGACTTCTGTGGAATTTAAGCCCGGGCTTGGACAGGTTGCCCGCCCAGGCTGCCAGCTGCCTGGGCCATTCCTTCTTCTCTGGCAGAAGACGACAGTTGGCCAGTGAGTGGCTTTCCTGACCAGGTCCACACATCCTGCCTGACCAGCACCTCTTGAATCAGGCAGGATGTGTGGACCTGCACAAGGCCCCCCTGGGCCTCAGTTTCTCTCTTCATAACACAAGAAACAATCCGCTTTGTCTCTGCCCCTTCCTCCTTCCCAGGAAGTGTGCAGAGCACAAAGCAGATTTTATCAGAAGGAATTCTGAGCTCCAGAGAAAGGCAAGAACAGAATGATCAACCTCCAAAATCCACAATAATAGGAATGAGAAGATAAGGCTACAGGATTCGCTTGGGAGAGCCGAAAGGAGGCCCTCCCCAGAGTTCTGAGTTTAGCTCTGATCATTTGGATTCATTATTGACCATAATCTCTGCATTTTTATCTGTGATTCCTGATTTTAGGGCAATCACTTCTACCTCTGAAACAGTCGTTTCCCCTCTCCGGCACCTGTGGATGTGATTTCATCAGCCTGGGTCACATTCACGAGTATACCCGCCCACCCACCCGCCTCCCTGTACATACATACACACACGTATGCACATCTTTGTATGGGACTAGAAAATCAAGGCATTTGCAGCAAGACAGACCTGGGTTCGAATCTCAGCTTTTTCCCACTCTGTTGAAACTTGCAAGTCAACCATCACAGTTTGCTGTGTATACTGCACATCCACATTTTGTGTGTATTCTACATAGGATTATTATCCCCATTATTATACCTGTGGTATGTAATCGTTATACCCATGTCTAATGCACACCTTTATTTTCCCCTCAAAAATTTGGGCAAAAAAGTACACATTAGACGTGGCAAAATATGGGTGATGTTTCTGAGTTTCTGCCACCTTAAAATAGGACCCTGGTTTGCTATGAGGAGCAAGCTGGACAATTAATACATGTTAAATCCTGTCAAATGCTGGGTATTGGGGGCACACCCGCATGTATTCTTCACACAGGTTCACACTTGAGTGTGCTCACACCCAGACGGCACATTCAAAGGCAGTCATAGGGCATCTCCTCACCGGGCTGGACTCTTTGGCACAGATCGGTCCCGCCTCTTCTAACCCTCGTTAGGGTTTGCAGGGTGTCAGCCTCTTCTGGTTTGTTTTTTACTCACACCAGGACCCAGGGGACTGGCAAGGAGTACAATAAAATAAAAGCCTGGCCAATCTGGCGCTGTGCCTCGCTTCCCTTCCACATAAAGGCTATCTGACTGCCAGCCATCTGGCCTCGAAGGCCAGGACCTGCTCGGAATCTGCTGCTTTGCTCAAAAGACCTGTTAACAGGAAA